GGGGGGGGGGGGGGAATGGAATTATATACACCCCTGACTGTGCATACTAGAATATATTTAGAAATTGATATTGATTAAAGGGAAATTTTTGAACCACTGTGCATGCTAGAATATATTTAAATATTTATTAAAGTGAAATACTTGAAACAGTGTGCATACTAGAATATATTTAGAAATTGAGATTGATTAAAGTGAATAATTGAACCACTGATCAAACTAGAATATTTTTAGATATTAATTAAAGTGAAATACTTGAACCACTGTGCATACTAGAATATATTTAGATATTGATGTTGATGAAAGTGAAATATTTGAACCACTGTGGAAACTGATGAATGAATGCTGGTATCCTGAACCTAAAGCTCGTCTCTCTGTACTCAGGTATTTGGATTATTATATACAATTATATATTGTTTACTAGCTTGGGAACCCGCGCTGCCAAGGTTACTAAACGTTACAGAAGTTTACCCGTTCAACTTAGAATCTGAAAAACAAGCTAAACACATTTCAGTGGCTCTCCCAATTTCCCCAATCAAAATTTAAGCAAATCGGTCCAAGGGTTCCTGGGATCGTACAAACAAACAAAGAGACGAACAGAGATTTATATTTATATATATAAGATAACAAATAATACAGGGGTCCATAAAATTCCATCTGATTAATCCCAAATGTTGATTAATTGATATTAGGGGCAGAAATAAACCATTTTGTTATTGTAATCAATTGGAAGTATAATGCCAAGTTGTAGAAAAAAATCCACACTGCAGAATGTTTACTGCAAGGGAGTGTTTGTTTTTCTGTATATTATAATTCATCTCTTATATTAAATACTAATACTTACATCTTTTAACACCCCAAATGCAGTACAAATTTCTGATGTCTAGTACACGTACACAAAAACTTGTCAAAGTTCACAATGACATATAAGGTGTACTTTCATGCCCCTAAATGTACTTTCAACCCCGATACCATTTGGGAATTATATGGAATTACATGGATCAGAAGAAATTATTGTTATAAACTTTTTTCATTTAATTGAAAACATCAAAGGTCCACTTACATATATAATTTAATTATTATTTGAGCAAACATTGTCCTTTCCTTTACTTTAAGTAATAGTTTTTTTTTTAAAGTTTGACCCAGGATATTTACCTGGAATCTCAACTGTAAGCAAAAACGCGTTTTTCCTTTCCTAATTAGAGAAGTTATAGATTGAAGTAAAGTTGGCTGCGATCAAGGTTGTAATACAAGGAAAGTTAATTGCTGTCGCGTATACTCTGTGTACATATTGAAACCAGTTCTCTCTGGGCGTAATTTGTAAACAAGAATAGATGCATCAGTGTTCGTTTAGTATCCGAGGAGGTTAAAAGCGTTAAATTTTGATAATTTTTGATAATTGACATACTAGTTTCCTATGACCAGAATATTTCATTGATTTTTATGTGAAAGATGGATTCCATGTCAGGCTTCGACATCCGTCTTGTGTTTACATTACCGCCCAAAAACAGTACACAGCAGTACAAAAGATGCGTACACTTCTGAAATAACTTTCCTTGCATTACATCCTTGGCTGCGATCGATTTCAACTCGGATTCATTCAACATATTTTTCTTTTTTTCCGCAAACACTCCTTTTATGCGTATTTACTATTCACAAATCTATTTTTGGAACTTTCGGGAACTCCATGTTTTTTCATGTTGACTTTCAAGATTACAAAATTAAAAACCACGTGGTCCATATGTTAGTTTGAAGTATTTTTCTCAAGTAGTTTAATCTTAATTTTTATAATAAATGTATTCCAGGGTTAAGAAGTCGCTGTCTAGTCTGAAGGAATCCTGTGCTATCAGCTCTATTATATAAAACTAGAACATTTACGAATTGACAACCAGTTACCATCGTTGATATCGAAGTATCTGAACGCTGTTGAAAAATCCAGAGATGTATTCAAGGATGAAGAGAACGAAGAAGGCTTCAGCTGCCAAAAATTCCAGAAGAAATTCCGAGTTGTGTCTTCTTTATACACAATAATCTACAACGCTTGATATCGATATCTTCTTCGGAAACATTGAAATTTGAGATTTACAGGCTTGATCTCTCAATCTTAGCTAATCTTGTTGGGTTCTAAAAGCGGGATATATCCAATAGGAATCAATTTACGCTTTATTAAGGGATTAACACTAAAGTTCTGACCCTATGAGACCCTTGGAGATAGGAATCTATTTACGCTTTATTAAGGGATTAACACTACAGATCTGACCTTATGAGACCCTTGGAGTAGAGAAGCGGGATATATCCAATAGGAATCTATTTACGCTTTATTAAGGGATTAACACTAAAGTTCTGACCCTATGAGACCCTTGGAGTAGAAAAGCGGGATATATCCAATAGGAATCTATTTACGCTTTATTAAGGGATTAACACTTAAGTTCTGACCCTATGAGATCCTTGGAGTAGAGAAGAAAATTTCTGCTGACACGAATCATGTTAAGACTTAATCTATCATTCGTTCAACGAAATTGGATGTTTGCACAGAGCTGAAACTTTTGATTGGTGGATATTGAGATTAATGCTTGATCCTCTCTTTTTCCTAATATCGAGACTAACTTATCTTGTAATTGTATCCTGAAAAGTGTAAAAAATTCAACCAATCAGAGTCGCGTACAAGAAACCAATAAATTTGAAATTTTGCGCGCCGTTTAAGATTAATATAAAGGAACGGGAAGGACTCTCTTTTTAAAAAAAACGGTTTTCAGCTCAGTACGCTTTTTGTTTTCTATAATTCTGTTTCGTAACATCGCTTGGATTTACAAAATTTACACACAAGGACTAAATTTTAAGAATAATATGGTGTAATAAAGGTTTAACAATGTCGTTAATTCAATTTAGAACGAACTTTTTTTGAAGTTTCCTTTTTTAGATTTTTTATGTTTGCCTAAAAAAAATGAAGAAACTACAATATGAATTTTTTTTTATAACAACTAATTATAATAATTTATAAAAGGTTTATAAGATTACGAAACATTTGTAGGTATGCCAACAAGTAGAAATCTTTATTTTTTCTGAAAGATAATGCTGATATATTTAATGTTTCTGAGTAAATTTTGATCTTGATTAAAATGTAAAAGCTGCTCTTAGTCAACAAGAAGTACAGCTTCATATTTTCCACCTCTTCGATTCCTCTGTTGAAGTTGTAGGAACTCCTTTATTTTTCTCTTGAAGGGATTTGGACCCGATTCAAAACGTTGCCCTTGAACCCTTTATCTGATCAATAATGTGGATCATATTGTCACTTTTCTAATTAATTTAATTCTGATAAATTATACATGTTTTCCTGCAGAAGAAATGCGCAAGTCACTTTTGAAGAAACCGCAATTTGAAATCATCCGTTTTAAAATCATAAACATAGATATCTAATCAGTATTTGATTAGACAAAGCTTTCAATTGTACCGTTGTGAATCGGGCATTGTCACCTTTGCACGTTGGTTCACTTGAAATTACGCTTACAGTCCCTTTAAGAAGATCTGAAAACCGTTGAACGCAACAGTACAAATTGTTAAATTGAATACGTCAATGTAAATAGTGAAACGTATTTTATTATATAAATGTTCAGATTTTGCATGCAATGGCCTCCTTTATAATTAATAATTTTTCCAGAAAGAATTAATAAAAATAATTCCACTGCAGGGTGTCCAGAAAATATTGGTTCCTTTTCCACTGCAGGGTGTCCAGAAAATATTGGTTCCTTTTCCACTGCAGGGTGTCCAGAAAAAAATGTACTGCAGCCCTCATTATAATTTGACTTACACTTATAAAATATAGACGTCATATTTCCATCATAGTTAAGATCGCACCAAAATCATGAGTTGAGAAACCTTATTGAGCGTTTTTTGGGACACCCTGTACTTTGTCTCCATTCCAACTAAAAGTCAGGTCTTCCCAAAAATCTTTTCTTGTTTTTGACCAAACAGCAAAGGGCGGCAAACTTTGAAATAGACATGATAACTATTCTTCGAATTTAAAAACAACGCCAAGGCCTTTTTTCGACGAAAAAATTAACAATTTACTTAATATGATTAGTATAATATGTGAAGATATAGTTTTCATGGATTTCAACCAGTCAACACTTTTAAAAGCATTCTACTTTTGCTGAGGCTTCGATAGTTTTTTCCCGAGAAAATAATTGCATTTTTGTCATATAGCTTTGATGCAATACTGGGACACCCTGTATATTCCCCGCTTAGTGGAGGAAAGGATTTATCTACACTGTTAGTTCTTAGTGTAGAGTATAGTAGAATAGAGAGTAGAGTATAGTAGAGTAGATTGGAGGGTGTAGCAGAGTAAATTTGAGAGTAGACTGTAGAGTTTAAATTGTAAAGAGTAGAGTGTGTAGTTTAAGTTAAAGTGCAGAGAAAAGATATCACGTAGAGTGTGGAGTTTAAAGAAGATCAAGTAGAGAGTAGAGACAAGAGCGTAGAGCGTAGAGCGTAGAGCGTGGAGCGTAGAGCGTAGAGCGTAGAGCGTAAAGCGTAGAGCGTAGAGCGTAGAGCGTAGAGAGTAGAGCGTAGAGCGTAGAGCGAAGAGCGTAGAGCGTAGAGCGTAGAGCGTAGAGCGTAGAGCGTAGAGCGTTGAGCATAGAGAATAGAGTGTAGAGTTGAAAGTTTTGAGAGTAGATACAACTCAATCATTAACTCAAGGTTCCTCAAAAATACCTTAGTCAATATATATACGGATACGACTCTATCTGTATTCTTAGGTATATGTCTTTCAAGATTTACTTAGGTCTCCTCTCATTCGCTAAACAAATGTACTGTTACTCTAATACCGCAATCAAGAAGAGTTTTATTCCAACTAACTTACATTAGAGTTCTATGATACAGTTTAAGTTAATGAAGATAATTACAAGTTTAGGTTGTAATTTACAAGCGTAGTTAGAAAAATCGCAATACAGAATTTACATAGTTATTTACAAGCGTAGTTAGGTTAATGTACAAAGTAATATAAATATGAGATTTACCACGATATTTATTACATAATGATTACCCATACCACTATCAGGTCTGCAGCTAAGATTTGTTTTAAATTGGTGGTGGGAGGGGGGACATTCATCAAAGTAAAAGCTAAAAAAGATGGAGAGCTTGCAATTTTGATTTTGAACTGAAAACCCTATTTTTTCTTCCCTTTTGTCTCCCCTTTGTTTGAGTTTTTCCCCTCCCCCCCCCCTCTCACAAAACCTTGAAAGCAAAATTTCAAAGAAAAATACTTTTTATTCAGAAACAAAATTCTCAGAATGGAATTCGTTAATGACTGAATATATTTAAATTACCAAATTGAACAATTTTTCTGATAATTTGTATTCAAGATAATAATATGCAGTATAATCTATTCAATTATGCATAAGTACATTACCTCATATGAATGAAGACAGTAAGAAACCTGAAATGTTTTATCTGAAGAACAATCTAGAAACTAGGAGTAGATATATATCATTTCTTACACAAACAGATAATTGTAAATTGTATTTAAATACATGTGAGGTAATGTACTTATGCATCATTGAATAGATTAAACATTATCTTGAATACAAATTATCAGAGAAATTGTTCAATTTGGTAATTTAAATATATTCAGTCATTAACGGATTCCATTCTGAGAATTTTGTTTCTGAATAACAAACAGATAATTGTAAATTGTATTTAAATTGTATTTAAAGGGACTGTAAGCGAAATTTCCAGTGACCCTCCAAACAAAACAGGAAATGTCTGATTCACAACGGTACCATTAAAAGCATTGACTGATCAAGTATGAATTAGTTAACAATGTTTATAGTTTGGAAAATTGATTATTTTCAATTGTCGATTCTATACAAAAGTGACTGGCGTATTCCTATAACTCTAGAAAAGAATATTGGAATTATCAGAGTTCACCACTTTTAAACCTAGAAAAACCACAATATCTTACACATTATTGATCAGACAAAGCTGTCAAGGGTACCGCTGTGAACAGGGCATTGTCATTTTTGAATTGAGGGTCACTTGAAATTACGCTTACAGTCCCTTAAGTTAAAAAAGTCGTCAATAACCTTAATTTTTTTCTCTATAAATTTATGTACATCTCTATATTTTTGAATACGCCTAAAATACTAGAAAAATTATGAAAACTAAACCTTTGTAGTGGATCAGTCAGGTTTATACCATCACAAACTCTTGATGTGAGAAAACTGTATTTTAAAGAGCAACAGTGAACAATATATTCTCAAGATCAATTTATTCTAATTTCTTCTTAACATTTTATTTCTACGTTGAAAACTCAAATTATGTCACTTTCCTTAAGAAACATCTTAAAAACTTTTTTCTTTAACATTTTTATAGTGTTTTTACTAAACCCCCAAATATATTATTTGTTATATTTGATCAGTTTCAAATGATAAAATACTTTAAAATGATTAGATCAGAAATGCTAGGTGAATTTGGCACAGTACATAGTGAAGAAGAAGGGCTTTTAGTATCTAACAATTTTAGGAATCAATCTAAATTAATCTATTGATAAAAAAGAAATCACATGGTGCTGAAAAAAATTAGCAATAATGATAATGATGGTAATGATAAATTGGTTAAAATTCTGATGAAAAATTTCTTAGATTTATTGGTGAAGTCTGTAATTGAAGAAGAAACTTAAGAACAGATTTAGAACTTAACGTATAATTGATTATCTTACGCAAGGAACTTCACAAGGAACGTATAACTGTAATGTAGGCAAATTATGAACTGTACCCCCAAGGAGCAATATCATCAAACTCAGTCCTCCCACAGCAGGCGCTAAAGTAGAACCGGAGCTTTAAGAAATGCCAGTCATGTTCTCAAACTTGTTTTGTAACAGTAAATGTCCAAGAAATCCTCATGAATTATTGTTGTTGTTAATTTATATTCCACTCTCCTGCCTCTAAGGTGCATGTTTTCAAGATTTTAAGCCGCAGATCCTTATATACTCCCCCCCCCCCATATACATGAATGAAGTTTTGCCCCTGAATTCTTTGTTTTTATCTCCTCCCACTGCAGTACACAGCATTGACGCATCGGATATGGAGGTTATAAGTCAATGCAAGGAGAATTTTATAGAAGGAGGGGGCGATTGGGTTTCCGTACACATTGCTGTGACGTTTTTGGACTGGTGAAGAACTAGTTTTGCGTAACAACAATAACAAAGGCAGCCTATCTAATGTAAACAAACATGAGTTAGTATGCGATGAATCTTCATCTAACGCCAGAGATGCACCAGATGTCTGTTTATCATTTGTGTTATTGTTTACAATCTTTAATCTTTATTATTGTTGTTACGCAAAAACTAGTTCTTCAGCAGTCCAAAAACGTCACAGCAAAGTGTACGGAAACCCAATCGCCCCCTCCTTCTAGCCAATTCTCCTTGAGTCAATGTATATATCTTGATCTTACATAGTAATTGTTTAAATAATCGATTAATTAATTGATTGAGCAGAACTCATGGAAATGAGGTGCACAGTGAATACAGGTGAAATGTTATAAAGTTTTTTATACAGATTTTGTAGTCGCTTTAAACTATTTCAACATTTTGGGTGGTGTGCATGGCAGCGCTAAAGAAATTGAGTCTCTGTAACAAACTTACATTAATTTCTTTTAACCAATCAGAGGCAAAAATCATTATATCCAGCAAAATGCGAGACATCAAAGTAAGCTAATTCTTGCACACTGATTTCGATATGTAGAACTGTCTTCGGTCTATTTCGATATGTAGAACTGTCGACGGTCTATTTCTACATGAGAACTGTCTACGGTTTATTTCAATATGTCGAACTGTCTACGGTTTATTTCAATACGTCGAACCGTCTATGGTCTATTTCTGTATGTCGAACTGTCTATGGTCTATTTCGATATGTCAAACTGTCTATTGTCTATTTCTATATGTCGAACTGTCTATGGTTTATTTGGATATGTCAAACTGTCTACGGTCTATTTCGATATGTCAAACTGTCTATGGTCTATATCTATATGTCGAACTGTTTCCAGTCTATTTTGATACTTCAAAATGTCTACGGTCTATTTTGATATGTCCAACGCATATGGTCTATTTAGATATGTCGAACTGTCTTATTTTGATACGTCGAACTGTCTACAATCTATTTCGATATGTCGAACTGTCTATGGTCTATTTCGATATGTCGAACTGTCTACGGTCTATTTTGATGCGTCAAACTGTCTACGGTCTATTTCAATATGTCGAACTGTCTATGGTCAATTTCTATTTTTCAAACTGTCTGCAGTCTATTTCGTTATGTTCAACTGTCTACAGTCTATTTTGATACGGCGAACTGTCTATAACGGTCTATTTCGATATGTCAAACTGTCTACGGTCTATTTCGATATGTTGAACTATCTATGGTATATTTGGATATGTCGAACTGTCTACGGTCTACTTCGATATGTTGATTTGTCTACAGTCTATTTTGATATGTCAAACTGTCCATGGTCTATTTTAATACGTCTAACTGTCTACGGTCTATTTTGATACGGTGAACTGTCTATGGTCTATTTTGATACGTCGAACTGTCTACGGTCTATTTCGATATGTTGAATGGTCTACGGTCTATTTTGATACGTCGAACTGTCTGTGGTCTATTTCGATATGTAGAACTGTCTACGTTCTATTTCGATACGTCGAACTGTCTACGGTCTATTTTGGGTTTAATTTCAAACAGTCTACTTGAGCTGTAGACAATTTGGAAATCGGAATTTCGGATTTTTTTTTCAGAATATTTTTGTTTACTTAATCTAGGTACAATATTATCTTAAAGGGATTGTAGTCTGTAAACGTAGTTTTAATTGACCCCTCATGATAGAGTGGCATGTCCGATTCACAACGGTACCCTGTACACCTTTATCTGATTTAGTATGAATAAGATATATATTCATGTTTTTGTGTTTGGAAATCTTTTTATGTTCATATTGGATTTCTCTACAAAATTTACATGCGCATTTCTTGCTTTAGAGACAATGAAGAAATTATTATTTCAAACTAGAAAAGCAATTATTGTCAATCAAGCAAATTGTCATTGTTAAGGGAGGGTCGTTTACAAGACGTTTATCATTACAACGACGGTATCTGTATTTATAATTTATAATTTTATAATTTTATAATGGAACTCGATTCCATCAGTCATCAAAGAATCTTCTACAGTGATTATCTTCAAAAGAAGATACGATGAATATAGAAAGAATCCGTGAGCTGCTGTAAGAGACATGCAAAACTAAGAAGAAAAAAAACCAGAGAGAACAATCAGCAACTCTTAAGTCAACAAAATCATCCTCATAATAACTCTATATGAGTTCCTGAGGATTAATCAACAATAAACAATAAACAATAAAATTTTATAATTTAAAATTATCAAAAAAAGAGTATTTCATCAAAACGGCTGGACAAAATTGACTAAATTTTTTTGAGGGAATCCTTTAGGATAAAAAAATCGAGATTTTCATTTACAAAATAGGTTTTTTTCTTCAAAATTCAATTCGTCAAAAATTCCGTGGGCAATGCAAGGTGCGCTTCAGCTGGTATTTAATAAATATTATTATCAAGGTGATGCGTGGAGTGCAGAAGATAAACAGTAAAACTGTAACAAGTTCAATGCTCGGAGTGTTTAGGGATGATCCGAAAACCAGATCTGAGTTTTTAAGTCTTGTCAAAGGAAATTAATTTCAAACTATATTAGCCAAAGCCATTTTTTTATTTGCAACTTTAGGCTGATGAATTATTTCACATGGATTTCTGATTTTACAAAATATTTAATCAAATTAATATTACTTATGAAACTATTATATTAAATTCTAAAATTTTCATTTAAAATTTTGTTACTTTACACCGAAACAGAATGCATAGAAAAGTGCTATGCATCTGTAACACAAACGTTCTAATTTATGTTCTAATTTTAATGATAATGGGTTATTCCCATAAAAAAGTGTTTAAAAAACATTGTTCTTATTGTGGGTATAATTCCCTATTTTAAATAATACCAACAATATAAAATGCAAGCTTTGTTCAACGTAACTGTGATTTCTTTCAAGATGATATGATAGAACTTCAAAATGTATTTATATTATGAAATATGCGAAAATAAATAAAATAAAATGAAATTTTTATTTTTTTTGGAGGTTTTCCCAAGGATTTGAAAAATATTTTCCATTCAACGAACAGCTTAACACTTTTAGGAATGACTTTCCTTTCATTTAAATCCTTTAAATCAGAAACTCTTCAGAAATTATAACTATCCTTATTTTTAGAAATGAAAATATTAATGGAAAATTGAAAAATCACAAAATTTACAAGAAACTTTGGTTTTTCTTTTTCTGACAAACAGAGTTTTGTTCTTTCCGGGAATTCTGTAATATTTTTTATTCTTTTTGATCATGTAATTTAATTTAAATACCCCCCCCCCCCCAAGAATAAAATTTGGATGATAAAAACAATGTTTCATTTAAACCTTAATCTGAGTAACAATGAGGAAGACAAGGCCGTTTTTTGTCGTTACCTGCTGCAAAAAATCATATAGAGGAACAAACAATAAATTTGAGCAATCTTAAAATTGAAAACAAGAATATCTTCGTCATTGTAACTCTAAGGTTTAAATGGTACTGTCGGGAATCGGCCATGCAGTTCATTAAACTCAAGGTAACTGCTACTTCCACTGAATTTTCGAGCCGGGCCAACCTTTCCGGTCCCAGTTTGTACTGTATCGCCCGGACATTGGGTAAATAAAGCAGACTCTCCATAGGACTAGCCGGTGAAACAAGGTTGACGCGGTCAGACTTTAGGTTGAATTTACTTTTACTAAAGGGGCAGAGGTGCGTGCAGTCATGGGTACTAACCCAGAAAACATTTAAACCGACTGTAAGTTCCGATTGCGAGGATGTCGGGTAAATAATTCTGAACTTTTTTATGCTCGACATCGGAGACTAAATGTTTAATTGCAGGGAATGGGTTCTTTAAAAAAATCTGCTAATTCACATTGTAACATTAAGAAACAAAGAAAAAATAATTTTTCGGATTTTATAAAAAAAAATTGCGGATTTTTTAAAAACATAATTAATGTCTGACAAATACATTCCTCTAAAAAATATAACAAACCTAAAAATACAAATTATAGAAAATGAAATTTTCTAAAATGATATTAAAATTTGAATTGCTTTTTTTTTAAATTAAAACTTGTAGCGTAAAGACGATAAATACAAAAAATTTGAAAAATGGAATTTTCTTTCAACAAAATTAAAGTACCGTAATAAAAATAAGCTTACCCTGAAAAAAAAGTTTTTAAAAGTCGCAGTACACGGTGCTCTGTAATTTATCGCTAAATATTATGGGATGAATATTATAAATAGTAATATATATTAACTAAAATATTATAATTTAATTACAAAAAATCTAAATTATTTTTCTTGTCGACGCCATGAGATAATCAACGTTTACTGTCGAATGGATGAGATAAACTGCAATATCAACCCCTGGTTTAATTAGTTTTCTAAACTTTCTATATTCAAATTTTATCAAAAGTTAAATTAACTTATTAATGCATTTCTGACTGGAGGAATCATTTCTCCATTGGGAATATAACATCCAGGGCCCAATAGGTTAAATAGCACAAATATGTGAAGTACACCTGCAGTATGGAAACTGTACAACAAAATGGCCGTTTTAAACTTTTTTCTAGTAAATTCCACTCTAATATATATTCTATTCTCTTTGCTTATGAACGTTCAAACATGGGGTCATAAAAATGAAAAAAGGCAGCTAACATATTTTGATAATTTTATGAAGATTCATACTATAATTGTTGACTAAAATACCGTCCAGGTCAAAGGCGATTTGAAATAATAGACGTCCCAGGGGTGTATATTCTTTAGAATTGATTGACGGGAAAAACTCAAAATTCAAGTTATTTCATTCTTTTTTTATACTTTTTATTATAAAAAGTCATTGATTTTTTTCAATTCAGCGAGAAAAAAACCTAAAAAACGTTTTAGACTTCTGGGGAAAGCAATGATTTTCTAATAAAAGGGGAAAGATTTATTAGGAAAATATACACCCCTGAATCCTCCATTAATGTCATTTTTTGTATATTTTATATTGTAGTGACCCCCCTGTGGATAGATCTGATCTCCTGCCTGCAGTTTCTGCTTCTTACAGGAATATATTAAAACAGGTGTTTGTTTTTTTATTTACTTTTTCTACCAAATGTGCACTGTATTCTTGTACTGCATGTGTACTGCATTTATGTAGATTTTTTTTATTTAAAGGGAGATTCTGGCCAAACACGGTAGTTGAGCTGAGAATGCAGTTTTGTAGGGACATTTTTTAGGATTCATTTCAAGGGTTCCGTTGTAAACCCGGCATTGCCATCTTTTCATGAATAATCACTTGAAATTACACGTACAGTCCCTTTAAAAACGATCTTTTAACCTTTCTTGTTCAGCTCGGAGAAGACCCAACAAGAGAAGGGTTGTTAGACACCCCTATGAGAGCTGCAAAGGTGATATTATATTTAACCATAATAATTACAGTGAGAACCAGAAAACTCTAGAATATGAAGTCGAGCTTTAGACTTTAACAATCCAGTGAACATGAGGAACAGCAATTGTGCAGTGTAAACAGACTCATTTTAATTTATAAGTGGTTTAATAACTTACGAGTTAAGCTATTTGCATTGTAACAACATCAAATGCACTTGACTACTGCTTTAATGTCGTCTTTCTATTCTACAGTTTTTTGGTTATCACTATAATAAAAGTAAAAATAATGGTTTGATTGAAATTTCAAATATCTGTCATAATATTGATGTTTTTTAATGGAAATATAAGCGATTAATAAATAAAATAAAACTGAAAAATAATGCACTTTATGAAGTTGCACATTCGCACAGCATTTATTTAAAATTGATAGGAGTACAACTTTCGTTAACGATCTGTACAACCGTTTTCGTAAAAGGAAGTTTACAAATATTTGGTAGTTCTACCGTTAACGCCGTTATAAATCGAGATCGTTAACGAACGGCAACTTCATTAACGAGTAAGAAATATCGTTAACTGATCTAAAATCTGAGTTATTATTTAAAAACGAATGGTTACTTGTTGGTGCATGTCCGGTCCTTTTATATCTAATCATTAATAATAAAATATAACACGAAAAAAACTTTTTATAACAATTTTAGGCAAAGAATCGTAATCAATATGATATAAAATATTTAACAATTATATATAGATAATGATTTAAATGATATTTTCAAAAATGATTCTGAAACTTTTTTATTTTGAATCTTTAAAACTTTTTGTAATCATGTTGAGAATTAAAAAACAATTAGTATACTTGCGATTGCGTACTTAATATACGTTATGATAAAACGTTATAGACATACATAAATAAATAAACATAGATAGCTTATGTACGCAAAATCACCAAGGATTGTACAGTCCGCGAACTCATACTTCTAGGGGTAAAAGTGTACTTCAATGATAAGCGGGGTGGTTGGGTGTTTTAATGGATTTCATAATTATTAAACCCATAGAGAATAGAATATATAGAGAGGAATTTATCTAGGGAACATACTGTATTAATGTACTCTACTGCATATAATTTGTGAACATTTACATGATTTGTACACTTTGAACTCCCTTTCAGGCTGAAAGGGACTGACAAAATTCATACCGAGAGATTCTTTTAATTCCTCTCTATATATTCTATTCTCTATGATTAAACCACTCACTGAGCAATATATCATATTGACTAGAACTGAAGAAGGACTACTTGAATTTCTCTCTACAGAACTCATGTACACCACAAGTACTCAATGACATAAGAGCAGCCAATGTTCACAACCGACCTAGTTAATGTATATAAAAGGAATATCTTTAAAACATCTCTGTACATTTATATCTTTCAAGATGAAAAATGTCGTCTTATGCGCAATCTATCTTTATCTATGGTTATAGATAATTAACATTTTTATGATGAAAAACCATGATAATAAGAACATAAAAAATTATGAAAATTTTAGGCTATGATGTTTTTTACTCGTGGCTATCAGGACACAGTATCCTCTGTTGTAAAGGTAAGGGTAGAATCGAAAAAAAATATTCGAAAAATGACGAAAAAAATCTTAATTTTAATTTCTCCTGAAGATGAATTATAGAATTAAGATGACAATAAGATAACTAATTTTAAAATATTTCTCCAAAATGAATTCCAACGAAATGTTCATTTGAATTCTATTCAGAATGCTGTTTTTAATGAGCCCACAGATGAGATGGTGGTTGTCAAGGTAATTTTTCATCAAAAAATAAGTTTTTTAAAATCTAATTTTGATAAAAAATAATTTTTTATAATTTTAGGATATAGAAATGTTCAGTCTTTGTGAACACCATTTAGGTAAATATTAATGTTTAGAAATATTTAATCTGTTAAAGGGTTGAATAACTTGAATACGCGTATATGGTTGGTCTAATAATGGGAAAATACGTCATTCTAGTTTTTTATTTGAGCCATGTCTAGGGATGGATCGTTTTTCATTTTTTTGAAAAGCGATTGTTTTTGTTTTGTTAAGTAACGATGTAGAAAAAAAAAAATTAACGGTCGTTTTCAAAAACGACCTTTCAAAAAAATATTTTTAAAATAGGTAGGTAGGTAGGTCCTTTTTAAATTATAAAAACGCCTTCATAACGATGTTCAATTAACCAAGAAATTATGATAGTTTAGAAATATGGACCCAGCAAAGGATTACAGTTTCTTGGCAAGAATTAAAAAACTAACTTTTTGCGCATTTTAGACATTTTAGACATTTTAGACACTTTAGACACTTTAGACACTTTAGACATTTTAGACATTTTAGACAATTTAGACAATTTAGACATTTTAGACATTTTAGACATTTTAAACATTTTAGACATTTTAGACATTTTAGACATTAGCGTAATTTTAAGTAACCCAGGCTCTATATGTTTTTGTTTCTTTTAAACTATTTATTTTCATTTGCGTTTTCTTTGCGAAAGGGTTTTGCACATTTCTTGCAATAGAGAAACTCAAATAAACACTTTTTGAGCCACGTTTTTAATCAGATTAAGGTTTCAAAGGTACCGTTGTAAATCGGACATTTCCATCCTGGCATGGAGGGGATCCCTTGAAAAATATTATGCTTATATACTTCCTTTAAATTAAAAACTGGAAACTGAAAGGCTGGAAAAAAAGAAAAAAATAGTTGATAATTTATTTCATAAAAATACTGTGAACGAGCAAAAAAATGATGAATCAATTATAAGATGTATTTCTTATCATTATGTTCTAAAAAAAAGATTTCATTAAATCTCATTTGATTTATTTTAAACATGTATGTTGTATAAATATTAGAGAATTAGAGATAATAACTAGATGATACTACGGTTAAAGTAATACATCAACAAAGGATCGCTTAAAGGGAGTGACTGGCTATGTAAGGTAGTTGAACTGAGAATGCAGTGTTGTGGAAAACTTCTTTCGGATGCATTTGAGACATAATAAACTTTTTAAAGATCTGTAAACTTGAGTTTGAGCGCCAATTCGACGTTCAAAAATCCTACTTTATGGGTAGATACGTTTTCAGAATTATTTTTTAAAAAATTTCTACAATAAACTACAGACGTCATGTAAAGGAACATGTTGAGAAAATAAAAATTAATCTTATCATCGAAAATAAGTAATCTTGTTCAATTATTAGTTTCTATTTTCTCATTATTCTGGTTTCTGATTATTCACAAAGATTTTCTGCAGATTTTCTAGAATTGTTATTGAAAAAACGACATTTGAAGAATTTGAAGAAATCTGCGAATAAATTCAAAGAAAATAAGAAATTCAATATAATAATGAAAACGAAATAATTGATTTTAGCATTAATTTATTGATAAATTTGTTTTGAGAAATATGTTCCCAACCATCTAATTAGATTACTGTATAATTTTTAAGTTCATAAAGTATCCTTTATTCTTTTAAAGGGACTGTAAGTGTCATTTCAAGTGACCTTCTATGCAAAGATTGCGAAGTTTGATTCTCAACGTTTTAAAAGGGTTGTCAGATCAAGTATGAATTTGATGTTAATAATGTTGAAAACTAATTATTTTCAAGTGTGGTTGTGAAGTGAATTGGGTATTTCTACAGCAGGATAACCTATAGAAATTGCCAGATGCTTTTAAACCTTGTTTAAACCTAGAAAACCGAAAATATCTTCCATATTATTGATCAGATAAAGGTTTCAAGGGTATCGTTGTGAATCTGGAATTGTCATCTTATCATGAAGGTTCACTTGGAATTTTTTATACAATATATATACACAATACGATTAAGGAGGCCGAATTTAAAGAATTTGAGCCGCGGCTTAAATTTGAGACGCGGCCGGCTCAAATATGGTTGGTTCCACTTAAAATTGTATCCAATGTTTAAAGATTTAAGCCGGCGCTCAATTGAAACCGATATTTGGCGGATTTGAGACGCGGATCAAATTCATTAAATTCAGACACTGATAATCATAGTTTCGAGGCCCCGTTTTCATACATTTTAGGTTATTTGATGTTTAAGATGAGGCTCAACAAGAATCTGATATCAATCAAATAAAGCTGCTACTTATTTTGCAGCAGTATTTAAAGCTCAATCATTTGTTAGGCCCAGGAATGACCCTTGAGGGGGAAGCTGCTACATGTAAAGCAGTAGCTGCTACTTATTTAGCAGCTATTACTGAAGCTTAATTATTAAGGTCCAAGAAAGAATGACCCGTGAGGTGGCAGCTGCAGTATGGGAAGCTGTAGCTCCTGCAGGGGTTGGGGTTGTTATTGAAGCCTGTCACATGTGTATGGTGAGTTAAAAAAAAGTAATTCTAAAATGATCGTTTGGTATTCTATTCTTAAACCCCATCTATCATTCTTTTTCAAATTTAAAATGCTCGTTTCTTTTTCCTTTGTTTTCATATAGTTGACTAAATGATCAAAGTAATTTTCAAAAAAGTGAAATAGCCCAACCCTACCGAGTACCAAATATAATAGGATATAGCCCAACCCTACCGAGTACCAAATATAATAGGATATAGCCCAACCCTACCGAGTACCAAATATAATAGGATATAGCCCAACCCTACCGAGTACCAAATATAATAGGATATAGCCCAACCCTACCGAGTACCAAATATAATAGGATATAGCCCAACCCTACCGAGTACCAAATATAATAGGATATAGCCCAACCCTACCGAGTACCAAATATAATAGGATATAGCCCAACCCTACCGAGTACCAAATATAATAGGATAACCACTAGGAGAAGTGAATGATAAGATATCTAGTTGAATAATAATACATATTGGAAATAATATCCATTGTCAATAGAGCTAGTGGGAGGGGAGGGGAGGGGAGAGGGGGTGAAAAATGTAAATTTACTCAATTTATTAAGTTGAATTAGAATGTATATTGTAAATTAACTAAAACAATAATGAGCAAGCATGGAATCATCCTTTAATTCTTTTTATCTTTTTAAAGATTTCAAATATTCTTTTTTTTCTATTTTATCTCAAATATAATAAAAAAGTAAAAGAATTTCTTTTTTCAAAATGTGCACACTTTTCTTTTTCTTTGTCATTGAGAAAAGATCTGCAATTTTGCAAGAATAAAATTTTTATCAGTAAAAACTTTAAACAATATGAGGAGAAGAAGTCAGATAAATAACTTTACAATATGAGGAGAAGGATAAATAACTTTGCAATATGAGGAGAAGAAGTCAGATAAATAACTTTACAATATGAGGAGAAGAAGTCAGATAAATAACTTTACAATATGAGGAGAAGAAGTCAGATAAAAAACTTTACAATATGAGGAGAAGAAGTCACATAAATTCTAAATGTTAAAATATTTAATCATATAGTTTGTTTCAAAGAACTGATACTCACAAGTCACAATGTTTTCAACAACAATAATACATTTCTCTTGATTTGATAAACCTGTGTTTATCTTAACCCTAGAAAGGCGGGGGAGTAAGTGTGGTATCCCATCCATCCCTTCCTAGCTCTCTTCCTTATTTTTCTGTGTGTCAAGTACTTTATTAAAAATATCTGCAAGGAAAAGTTTGACTTATAAATTTGACAATACCAATATCACCAATGGATTTAGACTTGTACTGCCTGCTGTCGGCATTTTGCAACCCAACTACAGACGTCATGTAAANCGTTACCTGCTGCAAAAAATCATATAGAGGAACAAACAATAAATTTGAGCAATCTTAAAATTGAAAACAAGAATATCTTCGTCATTGTAACTCTAAGGTTTAAATGGTACTGTCGGGAATCGGCCATGCAGTTCATTAAACTCAAGGTAACTGCTACTTCCACTGAATTTTCGAGCCGGGCCAACCTTTCCGGTCCCAGTTTGTACTGTATCGCCCGGACATTGGGTAAATAAAGCAGACTCTCCATAGGACTAGCCGGTGAAACAAGGTTGACGCGGTCAGACTTTAGGTTGAATTTACTTTTACTAAAGGTTCAGAGGTGTGTAACTTTTATAATGTAATAAAGTAATAATGCGAGAATTAAGGAAATACAATTTATTCTTATAACAATATATATATATTATATGTATATATAGATATGGAGAATAGAGAACAATATGTAAAGAATAATAATATCACGAACTATATTCAACACTAATGGTCCACGGAGGGGGGGGGGGGGCTAGAGAGAGACGTCCATTGATTTAACATTTATATACTTTTACTAAGGGAGAGTTCCCTGTTTTTTGTGTGGGGTTATTATATATCACGGATCGTTGGATTGTGTGAAATACAAAATTGAAGCGTGAAAAAATGATTCAGTTGACAAAAAAAGTTGATTCTATAAGAAAACAAAAACAGGATCTAAATCGTTAGAGAACCCCTTTTCAGAGATTGAAAACCATCAGATTAAATGGATTGATTTTTTTTATTATGGAATGACTATACAATAAAGCTAAGAATCTTCTTTGGATAAACCCTATCCCGATTGTACTATTTTTACCCCCCCCCCCTAAATTTCTATACGAAATGAGATAGTGCTGAGTGATAAATACCAATAGTTAAAAACTTAAAAAATGCCAATTCTTATAGTACAGGTTATAGAACAGGAGAAATTTTAAACAATGAGCAAAAGTACGTCGGAAAAATATTGAATAATGATAAATCACATTCGAAAATGTGTAACATGTTTTTTTAAAACTGGTAGTTTAGGCCCGGCCATATATCAATCTCTCAAAAAGTTGTTACTATTTTAAACATTTATTTAGTCACGGCTTTTTCAAACATTACAAATGTTGTCCTTGATGAGTTTTTTTTGGGTGCAGTTGCTTTTTTGTTAAGTGGACCCCCCCATACCCCACCCCCCGACCCTACCGGGATAGGGTTTGAAGGATTTTGATGGTTTGAAGACAACTTTTCTGTTTAAGTTTTGATTTCTATCAAACCTTTTCAAATTACAGAACAAAGAGAGAAACTGTCAATTGACAACTTCTCTTAATGTTTCATGTTTATGTATATCCAAGCTTTGTATCTAATCTATGCTTGGTAACAATCAAAATTGAAACAGAAAGTTGTCTTTATTGTATTGATATATACGACGACGACTGTAGGAAATGGTGACTGTACAACATCAATATCAGAGAATAATCTTCCAACTTTATATCTTGTCCGTACAATGTACACTGTACACTAAAGAATATGTGGAGTTCAATACAAGTATTAACGGTACATAACTATTGAACAGTTTATCATATTACACAGTTAACAGGTTTACAGTTTATGTTTACAGTCTACAGTTTACAACAAGTTATACATTCATAATATACAGTTACATTAGTTACAAGTAAAAAATCTGACAAATATCAGAAATAAGCTCTTTTTCTCAAGCTTCGGTGTTTTATAATCACTGTCAACAATTTTTAGTCAAAATCATTGATTTTTAGACTGATTTGGTTTATTTCCATTTTACTTCTACGAAATCTCTAATTGTTTAAAATCTAATTCCAAGCTCTAAGTGGTAATAAATACAAAAATATCATTTTACACAGTTTTTTCACTCATATTAACAAAAATGTTTGCCAGTAATTTTCAAAACAAAAGAAAATTAATTTTGCAGCTTTTTCTGTTGATAAAATCATACGAAGTTTTTTTTAGTTTAAAACATGCAAAGAACATTTCAAATTTTTAATAATTTATCTCGTAAAAAACGTAATGAAATAATTCAGAAAGAAAGAAAATATTTCATAGCTGAAAACTTTAGAATTGTGATATCGAGATCAATGCTTGATCTACTCTTTTTGTTAACCTTAGGATTATTTTAATCTTTTGGGTTTGTATCAGGAAAGTTTTTAAAATTTCATCAATCAGAGTTGTGTATGCAGATTTTAGATTCCCGGACAGACAATCAGAAGCCAGGAAATTTGAAATTTTGCGCGCCATTTCACTGGAGAACTCTCATTGGCTCGAATCTAGTTAGAATATTCGAAAAGACGGTGAAAGAGCGGATTAAGTAGAAATTTAAAGTGTCCACAGTGGATATACTGATTAAAAGATTCGAAAGTTTTCAACTCTGGATTGTCAAGTTTATGTACAGACTACTTATGTATTACATAAGCCGGAAATAAAAATAGATTAAACCAAAAAGTTTGACTAGGGTGCATGGCCGGGAGCTATAAGAAATAAGTATGACATTTTTTAAATTCTCTTTTCGGCAAAGTTTGAACTACAAACTAGCCCTTACTTTAAAAAAAAATGGATTTGTTCGTTTAATGCTTTTATACCGTTGTAAATCCGATCTGCCATTTAATAAATTAACTTCAGGGTAGTTCTAAATTATGCTGGAGTCCCTTTATCAGAAATCTTCGTGGCAATTAAACTATATAAATTTACTTTCAAAAATGTTAGAAAACCGAATATAAAAGTTTTTTAACTCTATAGGGCATTAAAGGAGCAAAATAAAGATCAGTTGTCAAACTATAGAGTTAAAATAAATACAAATGCAATATCAGTAATTCCTTAAAATGAGAATGAAATTTGAGAACCATAAACTCAATAGTTGAGAGAACTTTGCTCCTCAGAATCCATATTACAACCTAGAGTAATTTTAAAATCAATCAGAGGCCGAATTTAAAGAATTTAAGCCGTGTCTCAAATTCGAGACAAGACTCAAACATGGTTAGTCTCACTTGAAATTGTATTGAGTGTTTCGAGATTTGAGCCGGCGCTCAATTGGAACCGGTTTTTAGTGGTTCAGCGACGTGGTTTAAAAATCTCTAAATTCGGCCTCAGATGCTTTTAAACTTATAAAACATACAGAAACAGTTTATTTACAGAGCATACCATATCATATTGGATTATTTCCAAGCTTTAACGCCAAAATACGCGCATAATTCTCGTGAAACATTTTTTCATGATTATTTTTTTTTAACGAAACTGAATTCTTTCCACAGCCGTTCATTTTCAAATCCCCATACCTTTGCAACCCGCTGCCGTAGACTTTTAATATTTCTACAAAGATCCATTTTAGATCAAGTAGTCTAAGATTAAGATATCAAAGATTTAAGGTTTATATTATTTATAATATTTGAGTTTATGCCAAGAGTTCACATCCTTTTCTGGTCAGTCCCTTAAATACCAATTTTGAGCTATAAACGATCTCTATGATGGGGATACACTGTATAAACGATCTCTATGATGGGGGATACCATGTATAAACGATCTCTATGATGGGGATACACTGTATAAACGATCTCTATGATGGGGATACACTGTATAAACGATCTCTATGATGGGGATACACTGTATAAACGATCTCTATGATGGGGATACACTGTATAAACGATCTCTATGATGGGGATACCCTGTATAAACGATCTCTATGATGGGGATACACTGTATAAACGATCTCTATGATGGGGATACCCTGTATAAACGATCTCTATGATGGGAATACACTGTATAAACGATCTCTATGATGGGGATACACTGTATAAACGATCTCTATGATGGGGATACACTGTATAAACGATCTCTATGATGGGGATTCCCTTTATAAACGATCTCTATGATGGGGATACACTGTATAAACGATCTCTATGATGGGGATACCCTGTATAAACGATCTCTATGATGGGGGATACCATGTATAAACGATCTCTATGATGGGGATACACTGTATAAACGATCTCTATGATGGGGATACACTGTATAAACGATCTCTATGATGGGGATACACTGTATAAACGATCTATATGATGGGGGATACCCTGTATAAACGATCTCTATGATGGGGATACCCTGTATAAACGATCTCTATGATGGGGGATACCATGTATAAACGATCTCTATGATGGGGATACCCTGTATAAACGATCTCTATGATGGGGAAACACTGTATAAACGATCTCTATGATGGGGATACACTGTATAAACGATCTCTATGATGGGGATACCCTGTATAAACGATCTCTATGATGGGGATACACTGTATAAACGATCTCTATGATGGGGATACACTGTATAAACGATCTCTATGATGGGGGATACCATGTATAAACGATCTCTATGATGGGGATACACTGTATAAACGATCTCTATGATGGGGATACACTGTATAAACGATCTCTATGATGGGGATACACTGTATAAACGATCTCTATGATGGGGATACACTGTATAAACGATCTATATGATGGGGATACCCTTTATAAACGATCTCTATGATGGGGATACACTGTATAAATTTTTCCGTTAGATTTGTAACTGAAATAAACTGATTACTCTTCTCAAACTTTAATTTTCTAGGCTTTCTAAGATTTTCACAAATGCAAAATTAAACAGTCAAATTTACAAATTAATTTAAATGTTAAGTAAAAAATATGAAAATGTTTAAATTTACTTTTTTAATATTCTGATGATCCGATATTTGGACTAGAGTTCTGAATTCCAGATATCTAAAAAAAATAAAATTAGAAATAACTTTAAATATCTTTATTTTAATTTCTAAAATCTTTTTGAAAATTAGGCTTATAATGGCACGGGCAGCCGTAGTTCATTTAAATTTCCGAGCCGGGTCAACTTTTCCGGTCCCATTTTGTACTGTATCACCCGGCCATTGGGAAAAAGAAGCAGACACTAAATAGGACTACCCGGTGCAACAAGGTTGACGCGGTCAGACTTTAGGTTGCATTTACTTTTACTGAAGGATCAGAGGTGCGTGATGGACGACGGAAATATATGTATTTTTTTAGTGAGAATTTAGTCCTGCGAAAATTTGAGTGTTATAAAACCCGTTAGTAGTATCAATCTTTAATTTATTATTTATTTCTAACCTTTGGAGAATATGCTGGTCCTTGAAGCGAGCGCGGAGATCCGATACCAGAATCTACAGAATTTGGCGGATTTCCAGTCGTCTTCGTTTCAGAGTTTAAAGTATTGGCCGCAAGATGGCTTCCACCACGGTTTACGATCACACCACTAGCAGAGAACTTTGTGACAGTATCATACTAAATAAGCAATAAATATATGAGTGAATATTACAGTTTTAATAATTTATGATAAAACATTTTAAACAGATATTTTTAGTCTTTATTGTTAAAAGTAAAAATAAAAAAAAAATAAAAAATTGCTCTGCTTTGAAAAAATTTGTTTACTAACATTAATGCCATGGGGACCAGATTGTATAGTTAGCAAGACATTGTTAAAGGGAGTGACCGGCAATGTATGGTACGTATAGCGTGAACTGAGAATGTAGTATTGTGGAGAAATTTTTAAAGATTCATTCTAGACATATAAAAAGGTTTGATGATGTATAATTACTGCAAGTTTGAGCGCAAAGTCGACGTTAAAATCATCTGTTAGGGTGGTTACGTTTTGAGAATCGATGTTTTTAAATTAATAAATAAGGACGACACAAAATGTTTTTAAAAATCGACTGTAAACTAATTAGATGTTTAGGAAAACATTTTCAATATAAATTTGTCAATAAATTAATGTTAGAATCAATTATTTCTTTTTCATCATTATAATGATTTATAATAATTTGATTGTAGATTTCTTCAAATTCTTCAAATGTCGTCTTTTCAATAAAAGTGAGAAATGAAAGAAACAAATTAAAGGTTTTTAATGTAGAAAAAAATGACGATATCTTCCTCATTGTTACTCAGATAAATATTTAAAAGGGCACAGTTGTAAATCAGATGCCATTCTTGTTTTTAATGAAGGGTCGATCACTAGAAATTAATATTGCTTTTTTTTTCTTTTTTTTTTGTTCAAATGATCCGACCTAAGTTCATTTCACCTATTTTGGGAACTAACATTTTTTTTAAGTTAATTAACAAAAGAACATGACATAAAGGAAAATTAAAAAAGCAAACAGACAAACACTCAACATTGACATTCGCATTTTATAATATACAATGTGAAAAGTTTTAAATATAGATAAGCAGATCCATAATGCATACTTATTTTCGATAGTAAAATTCAATTTTTATTTCTCACCCTGTTCCTAAACAACTGATTGGTTTACTTTGGAATTTTTGTTACATTTTTTGTCGTCGCTATTTAAAAATTTAAAAATAAATCAATTTAAATGTCTGAAATGAATTCTAAAAACTATCTTTACAAAAGTAAATTCTCTGTTCACCTACTATACATTGCCGGTCACTCCCTTAAAGATAAAGTGGTTTAACTTAGTCCATGCGGTTCAACCATGTCTTGCCGATCAGATAATCGTATTCCAGATTTATTCTTAAAAATACCTTTAGAACTGATGGGCTTGGAAATGATTGGGAATTTGGAACATCATATTTGTCCATTTTCTCCTGAAGTAATAAAAAAATGACTGCTTGAAAATGAGTTAAAAATTTTTAAAATTTTACAGAAGTCCACACTGGCACACGTAGTGACGTAATCAACAAGATCATTATCTAAAAGATTCGAGAGTAATTTCCAATTTGAAAAGAGTAATTTTCAGATTACCAAGCGAAATTTTCTTTACAAAAGCAATTTTTCAAATTTCCTAAGAGACGATTTACAATTTTTTAGGCAAGCTAAAATTTTACAGGAGCCAATTTTTATTTCCCACAAGTCATTTCGCATTTTATAGAAGCGATTTTGATTTTTCCATTTTTCAAAAGCAATGTAATCGTCATCTCCGACGCCCTAGAATCAATTTATATTTTTCCAAAACCTGTTACCATTTACTAAGCCTGAGTAAATCTTTCAAAAATGAATTAGCTTTTATATAACTTTCTTCTCCCAAGTAAAAGCATGCCATTCGACATTTCAGGCCTACTTCTAACCGGCCATGTTTTCTAGGTTCTAACCCAAACTGACATCTTAAAAAATACTATTGGAGAAATGATCATCTGAAAAAAGATTCCCACTAGTAAAATTGCAATTACAATAATGTTCATGTCTACCTGAAAGTTTTGAAGGGTAGTGGCATTCTGAAAATGATTCTGAGACTTGTTCAGATTTTGACTCCAGAACCCAGGACTGTTGAGAGATCCTGAGGTTCTGCTTTGGTCCTGATTTAGCCTCTGAGAAGAGTCCTGCTGAAACCTCTGAGAAGAGTCCTGAGAAATCCTCAGGGAGGGGTCTTGAGATAGCCCCCGAGAAGGTTCTTGAGATAGCCTCCGAGATCGGTCTTGTGATAACCTCCTAGATTGGTCTTGAGAGACCATTGGAGGTTTATCTTGGTGGGGTAGATCACTAGAGGAAGAAGGAATGTTTAATCCACTTTCCTAAATAATTATTTATGACGAACAAACATGGTTTGTGGGGCGGGGAGAAATTCTCAACAAATGGGATTTGACGGGAATGATTGCATTTTTAGAAAAGTTAACAAACATTCGGAGGTACCATTGAAACCTTAATCTGATCAATAATGTGGAACAAGTTATCGTTTTTCTAAGTTTAAAAGTATTTAATCCTAATAATCCTAATATGATTTACTGCAATAGAATTTGCGCAAACCTCTATTTTAGCTTTCAAAATTATAAACATTACATCTAACTCATACATGATCAGACAAAGCTTTTAACGGTAAAATTGTGAATCGGACTTTGCCATTTTGCTGGGAGATCACTTTGAATTAGGCTTACAGTCCCTTTAAACCATTCGTAAAAACTAAAACAATCATAGATTAGAAATGTGGAACAAGTGTGGATGGAAAATTGTTCTTTTCTCGTTGACATTTAATTATACAAAAAAAATGTATTAAAAATAATTTAATCCAACCCAATCAACCATCTTTAACAATAAACATTTTATAAAGATGAGAAATTATTAACGATTAACTATCCATAGATGTTACGGATCAAGGGGATGGATAGACCCCCCCCCCCCTGTATTCGCCTCCAAATGTTGTTTTAAAAACATGGTAAACTAATTTTTTTAGAAACCAAAAAAAAACGAATCCCTATCTTTCATTCACAAGAGAAAATGTAAACAATATTTATTTCTCATTTAACAACGTTGAGCAACTATGAAAATATATATTTGAAAAATGTTGTTTTATTCCACTGCATATTTTGTATTTTATAAGGTCTAACTCTCTGGAATATATATATTTTTATGTGAAATGTGTTGGTTTGATTTTTTCTGACAAGTCTCAAGATTCAATTTTCTTTTGTGAAACAACAGGTTCTTTTCAATTATTGTTGATACTAGTCTTGGGAGAAAAGTAGGGTTATAATATTATAATGCATGAACCTGTCTAGTAGTAGAGGATGGTGCTGATGTACCCACCTGTCTAGTAGTAGAGGATGGTGCTACCCACCTGTCTAGTAGTAGAGGATGGTGCTGATTTACCCACCTGTCTAGTAGTAGAGGATGGTGCTGATGTACCCACCTGTCTAGTAGAAGAGGATGGTGCTCATGTACCCACCTGTCTAGTAGTAGAGGATGGTGCTGATGTACCCACCTGTCTAGTAGTAGAGGATGGTGCTCATGTACCCACCTGTCTAGTAGAAGAGGATGGTGCTGATGTACCCACCTGTCTAGTAGTAGAGGATGGTGCTGATGTACCCACCTGTCTAGTAGTAGAGGATGGTGCTGATGTACCCACCTGTCTAGTAGTAGAGGATGGTGCTGATTTACCCACCTGTCTAGTAGTAGAGGATGGTGCTGATGTACCCAAATCTAATCTCGTAGTTGAATCTGGTGTTACAGCACTAGACAAACAGAAATTGATTAGAAAGGAATTGAGTCTTTGTCACAAACTCAAGTTTTATAATCTTTCTTTATAATCTATAATAAGTTTTATAATCTTTCTTTATGTTCACTTTGAAATACAAGTTTGAACCTTTCATGCATATTAATGAATGTTATGATAATATTACAGAAATTATGAATATGTTATACTAGCTTGGGAAACCAGCCACGCAAAATTGCCGCTTTAGTGATTGTAAAATTAACCAGATGGCAGATATAGCCTTAAGTCAGACCGCGTCAACCTAGTTGCACCAGCTAGCCCTGCCTACTGTAATTGGTGTACCGGGCGGGACAGTACAAACTAGGATCGCAAAGGTTGGTTCAGCTCAGATTCAAATGTAAATAAGTTGGGTGTGCAGCTTTGCTTAGAGTTTGCTCTATACAAATCGACTCCCTCAACCTAAAATTTTAAAACCTTTAAAACTAAGCTAAGAACATTACCGTGGTTCTCCTGAGTTCCCCAAACAAAATTTGAGGCAAATCGGTCATGGGGTTCATGAATTATAATGATCAGACATACACACATTACTACTTTATATATTTGTTATTGATTTAAATCCCATACTACTTTTTAAAATGCCAGATAAAATATATCTAAAATTGTTTTGTTTTTATTAACTAATCAAAAACATAATCGTTTTATATTAATAAAAAATCATATGTGCACATTTATCAAATTTTGTTTTATTTTAGTTTATTATTATGAATAAAGGTAAACGAATTTATTGCAATCAAAGTATCAGATTAAAATGATGATTTTAATTTAATCATTTGAAATATGATAAATTGATAAAAACGAATGGAAATTTCTGCTATAAATTGGTTTGAAATAAATTAAATTTTTCCACAAACTCAAATTTTCCTACCATATATATATATATCTTTGCAAACAAATGTCGTTAATCAACTAATCTAACATACAAGGTTTGAACCATCATGTTGCAATGATAATAGATTCAAAATTTTAGTTAGTAAAAAAAACTCAGCTCCTGTGTAATTCATAACTTTAAATTATTTTATTTTAATCTTTAAAGTTATGATGCAAAACTTAGCTTGTTTAGTTTAAAGGCTGTAAAAATCCATTATTTTTTCTACATAATTTTCTAATTTAAAGTTTAAAAGAAATTTGTTTTACTCAAATTATAATGTTATGATAATAGAAAAAAGATCGTCTTCGTTTTTTTATTTTTATTGCTCAATGCCGTGTTGAATGTTATGTATGTTGTATGAAGGTTTATTTCAAATGATTTCAAATTTGTTTAATCATTAAAACTGAGAAAGTCAAAAAAACCATTTTTAAAGGGACTGTACGCATAATTTCAGGGGATTCTCCGTGCAAAGATGGCAATGCCTGATTAACAATGGTACCCTTTATCTGGTCAAACGTTTGGAAGATGTTGTTGTCTTTCTATACAGGGTTAAAAGTGTTTAAAGTGTTTAATATAGGCTTTTTTGTGGTGAAAATGCGCAAGTCACAATTATGCCGGGAAACCATAACTCTAAATTTAAACCATAATTGAAAATAATCAGTTTTTTCAAATTATAAACATTGATATCTAATTCATAAACACTTTTAAGGATACCATTGTAAATCGGGCATTGTCATCTCTACTTGAAAGTTCACATGAAATTACGCTTACAGTCTCTAATACAATTGCGCCTTTGATGTGAAGAAGATTAGATTCTTACCTATTATCAGGAATATATCTAGCTAATGTAGATATCAATATCTCTTCGTACATTTCCTCTGTAGTTGCTGCGTTAAATGCGTCACTTTCAATAGTAGACGCCATCGTCTTCACCTGAAGACAAGGTTATTTGTAGTTCGTATTTATTTGCGGCATTCGAGCTTTCAAAAAGTAAATATTTTCTGTTTGTAGCTAGTATAAAAAACCGGGTCGTTTTTACGTTGTCGTCCGGATAATTTAGACTTTCCAGGAACAGGGGCGGATACAGGAGATAAAATTACCCTTACAGTCTCTAAAAAAGCCTATTCCCCCCCCCCCCTAGCAATGCAACCATCGTCAATTTTCTGTGTAAAAGCTTTTTTGGAATGAGAGCTTTTTGATGATAAGTATCAATTATTGAATTATATTCTATTTACTCCATTAACAAGATCATTTGGACTAAATTTACTTCATCCAGGAATTTCTAGTGTTTAACCTGTCTGAGCTGGGAACTTTTGTTTTGAATACTTTTAATACTGAACGCTTGATCTCAATATCCACTGTGGGCATTTTTGAATTGAGTATAACTTCTACAAAAAGCTTTACCTTTCCAAATCTTCCTTTCTGCAGTTATTCTGCCCCTTATCAAAGCCCCCTTTAACCCCTGACTGGGTACGATTACCGCGCGGGATATCAAATTAAGATTAAATCAACCTTCAGAGATTAATAAAGTCCACAGATAAGTGTTCCCAACTCTCACCATGCTCAAAGATCAGAATGTTCTTTCGTTAAAAATGTAAAATGCTTTGCCTGAAAACCCCAGTCAACTTTTAAATCATGCAATTGTTTAAACACAATTAAATATTTTATATTTTCTCAAATAAGCAAAAAATTTTCGTCTTTTACGATAAAAAAGAAACAGCAAAATAATATTGGAAAATTTACCAGAAAAAAACGTACTAGATACCAAGCTTATTAAGCATAGTATTGAGATTTTGTAAAGTCTTTATGCTTGATATAGAAAACAATTATTTAGTTTTTATTACAAAATTCAACACCTTTTTGATGAATTCACAAAGCAGTGTTCTGTTTAGTTGTATTATAATTAATTTACAGAACAATGTTCCATTTTTTTCTAAAAACAGAATTTAAAAAGTATTATTTTGAATCGCTAGTTAAAAATTAAGAGTTCCTTGACAACGCCTTTTTCAAAATTACAGTTCCTTTACGCTCAGTTTGACCAAAGAGAATAGAATATATATTAGAGTGGAATTTAGACAATCCCGCGGTATGAACTTTGCCAGTCCCTTTCAGCCTGAAAGGGAGTTCAAAGTGTACAAATCATGTAAATGTTCACAAATTATATGCAGTAGAGTACATTAATACAGTATGTTTCCTAGACTATCCATTTCAATTTCGAATTTTTTAAAGCTGTTAAAAAAACTTTATAAAATGAATTAGGTGAATAAAAAACATCATTTGATTCATAGTTATAACGTAAAATCATCTTTTGTAAAGTGAAAGGCATAGAGTCTATGTGAAATTATCATTGGTCAATTATGAAACCAGCCTATTTCATAATTTGGTTTTCTTTTAACATTAATTTTAGATTTTCTATAAAATGATGCTCCAGGGCCCAAAAGGTTATATTGCACAAATATGTGAAGTACACCTGCAGTATGGAAACAGTACAACAAAATGGCCGTTTTACACTTTTTTTCTAGTAAATTCCACTCTAATATATATTCTACTCTCTTTGGTGTTGACTCTTTCTAATTGCACGCTCTGGCTCAAAATTTATAGATTTTCATAAGTATACATAAATCTTTCCATACTTTTCCATTGCCTTTAGTCGTCAAGGGTAAATCATTTTTTAGAATAATTTTGTTCACCACAGCTGTTTATTGTGTTAAAATGCTAAAGGAATTGAGACACGAACACAAATTTTCTAATCCCTAAATCTTTGCAGCCTGATTAGACCTAATATATTTCAGAATTCATAGTCTAACATATTTTAGGATTACTACATTGGGGTTTAAAGATTTAGTGATTAGAAAATCAGAGTTTGTGGAAAAAGACTGTATTCCTTTTCGAAGGAAACTATTTAGGAATCGATATAATTTGACGTCAAGGATAGGAATTAAGTTTTGTAGATACCCAACTTAATTAAACCTTTTCACCTAGTTCTCAAATTAAGTTTTGTTGATACCCAACTTAATTAAACCTTTTCATTGAGTTCTTAAATTAAGTTTTGTTGATACCCAACTTAATTAAACCTTTTCATTGAGTTCTTAAATTAAGTTTTGTTGATACTTAATTAAACCTTTTCAACGAGTTCTCAAATTAATAGATTCATAAAAATTTGACGTCAACACTTTCCATAGGCCTAAAGCCCGCCAGACATAAGTGGAAGTGAACATAGAATTTTTAAGATGTCATTCAGAAAATTGATCAAGCATTTATTCTATCACAAAACAACAAATATATCCTCCCCCCCTCACTTAAATCCTGTATCCGCCCCTGCCAGGAAATCTTTTGTATTCCTGGAAATGAAGATTTCCAAGTGTTTTGGTAAATACAGTCTAGAAAGAGTGATAATAAAGTTCTCTGCAAAGAAATAAAAAATGTTGAGATTCAAGTCACCGGCTTCCCCTCTAATAACCAATTTTCATCGATCTGATTTTTTCCATATTATAAAATTTTGTTTTAACCATAACTGTTAAGTTCAAGTAGATAATTTTAATTTTATAGCTAAAAATAATCTTCTTAAGATTACTTGAAATTCTTATTAAAATTAAATATTTTAATATAAAAATCAAGAACAAATTCTGAACTTAAAAATATTTGAATATAATTTAGAAGCTGAAATATCTTACTTAATATGGTTTTAATATAAGTTTAGACTTTGATAAGCAGGAAACTTTAGAAAAGGAAGACGACATCACGGCCATAATTAATTGTATTTGATGTTGTTACAAAGCAGAAAGATATACTAGTAACTTAGTTAATCACTTATTAAGTAAAATGAGTCAATGGGTGTGTATCATGATCATTAAAATATCTATAGTCATAACTTGAGTCTAAAGTCGTCTTCCGTATATAGAACAACGAACAATGATGATTTACAACGAAAGTCTGAGCTAAATTTTAGTATTTTTTTATGGACAGAGATGGAATTTAAAGAATTTGAGCCGCGGTTTAAATCCGCCAAAATCCGCCAAAACCCGGTTTAAATTTTGCGCCGGCTTAAATCTTGAAACATTTGATACAATTTTAAGTGGAAACAACCATATATAAACCACGGCTTAAATTTAAACCGCCGCTCAAATTCTTTAAATTCGGCCACTGGTTTAAAAGTAGGCAGGGAACCTTATAGAAGATAAAAATGAATAAGTTAGTTTTGTAAAATTTTGTAACAAGTTCTGAGCCTATGTCGGCCATTATTTTGTACAAAATTTCTTAGGGATAAAGTTCCAAATATTTTCTTCAAACATAAAAAATTCGATCTTTTTTTAACCTTTCATTTATCTCTTTCTTACTCACTGCACTTAACAGATTTGACCCAGGCTTATTCAATTAATCATTTCACATTTTTTTTCAGGATTTTTTAAAGTTTTTTTGCCACGACAGTAAAATTTTTTTTAATTTTGCCAAAAAAGGCCTTAATTTCCGGGCAATTTTTTTCTTTATTTAAAGTCCTTCGCATCATTTCCTGAAGCCAAAAAATCATCAAAACATTAAACTTTAAATGCATTTTCATGGGTTCCACTTTGGTTTCCAATTTTTGCAAAATTGTATTATGATTATGTTTCGCACCACACAGTCAACTAAACAGAAGGAGAACATACCAGTACCCCTTATGACCTCGTAGCTCCCCTAGTTTAGATTTTACTCAAAAGTATGAAGAAAAAAACAATCTGGTTGAATATTAGAAATTCAAAACGTTTTCGTTCATCTCAATAGCTCTTCAATGAAAGGACTTATGATTAAATATTTCAATATAATTTATTATTTATTATATTATTTATTATATTATTTATTTTATTTATTTTAGTTTGACATGACAAACCAGATATGGTGTGCATTTACTTAAGTTTGACATGAAAAAACATGAAAAAATATTCTACCTCTGATTGCTGACCTACGCCAGCTAGCTCAAGGCTCTTCTCCAGCCTATCCAGGTAGGTCAACCTTTTCTCAGTCACTAAACAAACAGATTTTAAAGGAGAATTTTATCACAAAGGAATTGAGTCTTTGCCACAAACTCTGGTTTTCTAATCCTTATATCTTAGTAACCCAATGTCATAAGCCTTATATTTTATTAAATCTGTTAAATCAAATAGTGTTAGTTAGAATACCAAAGGTTAACACCATCATGTTGAAAAGAAAAAGAAATTAGAAAAATTGAGTTTGTGACAAAAACTCAGTTCCTTTAAATAGAAACACGAAAGCGTTCTTCTAAGATTAATTTTTTCAATTTTCTGCACGCTTTTTAATAACAAATTTGACACTGAAAAAAATGGTATTGTGAAGTTAATTATAGTTGTATGTATATCAGAAAAGTATAATATTCATGATAAGAGATTTTTCCGCCAACTAAAATTTTATTTAACTCGAGATGTGCAAATTAATCAAAACAAAAAACTAAAAATTAAACTATTCAAATAAAAAAGTAAAACTGAAGTAAAAATAAAACAAAAGATTTAAATAAGATAATCATGTATTTGCTTGACAAAATAAACAGATAGGATTTCTAAATTGATTTGATAATTGTTTAATAACTGGAGAATAGCATCAATATTCAAAAAGATTTTGTTCTTAATTGGTCCAAACAAATATTTGAATTTTCTAGTTAAAAATGGAATAGTTCAGGGCGTCTCAATTAACTTGAAAATTTAGAAGAAAATTGAGTATCATTTTTCATCGTTCTAATAACAAATAAGTATGCAAAAAGTCTAAATCATTTTCTATTTTTCGGAAAATCGATTATTTTCAAATGCGGGTACTTGCTTGTAGCTTATGAATTTATGTTATAAAAACGATGAAGGATTTAGTCAGAATTCAATACTTTTAAAGCTAGATAATGTTTACTCAGAGTACCATTATGAAAGGGACTCATTAATTGAATTAGATTTTAAATACTTTAAAAACGCTTTCTTTTTTAACATTTCTTTATTTTCAAAGGAATACACCAGCTTAATGTCTTTTTGTTCCTACTGTAATAATTCTTTTTTATCATCATGCAATCATAGATTAATTAACAATAACAGATAGGACACTAGATGTCGTCTTTTAAAGATTAAGGGGGTTTTCGTTACGCGTCTTGTCATTCAACGCGTAACTCTTTTGGGCTTCTGCCGCAGAGTTATTGTGAACAAAAACCCCTAAATCTTGAAAAGACGACATCTACAGTTCTATCTGTATATTTGTTAATTAATCTACAGGGTGTCCCATATCATATTAGATCGTCTAAACTCTAAATTACAATTTCCGGGAATATTCAGAAAATTTAAGAAGAATAAATCATTGTGAAAAATTTAAAAAGGCTAAAATAAAAATGTTCTTGCAGGAAATGCTATGTTTTTCGAATATTATATGTTTATTTTGGCTTTTAAACTTGGAGATAATGTAATATGATATGGGACCGTGGGACGCTCTGTATGTAAACAAGAATCTCAGGCAGGAGATGAATTTATACTGTACAACTTGCCCCAGCTGCCTAGAAGTCGGTACGGCACGGTACGGTACGGTACGGTACGGTACGGTACGGTATTTCAAGTACACCTCAGTTTTCAGTGTGTAATGTTTCTTTGTGTAAATAAAGACCGACCGACCCTCACTAGTCAGGGAGAGGAACAGTTCTATTTTTAGAGTTTAACAATAAATGTATTTTCCGAGAAATAGTAAACTAAGTTTAACTTAAAATATCTTCAAAATGAAGACCTGAGAAAGAGCTTTCTAAGGGTTTTGTCAATCTTATGTCAAACCAAAAATAAGAGACATTTTTTTAATACCAAATCCTCTTTTTCAATCGTTGGTAAAAAACTTTATTATCCAATTTATCAAGAGGGGATAAAAACAGTCGTATTTATGTTCTAAAAATAATAAAAAACTGGTAACCAAGGAGTTTTATAATAATATCAAAATTGTATATTAGGTTTTTCTTATAATACACTTTATATAATGATTTGAATTAAAATCTCATAAAATTTAGATATTTTTGTCTGAATAGAGAAGATGTAAAAGCTTCCTTGGAACTAAGACTGAGCAAAGTTCCGAACGGAGGTTTTTGAAAATTAACGAAAGAATTCTTTAACCAACGGCAAAAACCGTTAATTTTAAAATCTTTAACAAACGGAAATAGCCGTTTGTTAAAACAGACATGGTTTAAAAAAACCAAAAAGAATGTCTTTTAAAATTGCACAAAGGTCGCTAAAAGTAAAAGATAATTCTTTAATGTATTTTAATGTTTTAAATATAGTATAAAACTCATTGAAAAATTGTCAAGACGACATTTGATAAATTCTTCCGATGTATTCGTTATTAAGGGTTTCACTGTACCAGGGATAAAAATATTATTATTCCTGAAACATTTTCGTTCGTCTGCTATATTTTAATTTTACAATTTTACTGAGAAATTTTTACAAAAGATTTAAAAATTTTAATTAAAAAATTTATTACATTTTTATGATCAGATGTAATGCAAAATTCAATACTTGTTTATAATTCACTGCAAAATTTCAGAAAATCATGGAAAGTTTAATGCTTTATAATCTTTTATGATTTTAGACAATGTCAGCAATTAGATTGGACAGTTGCAGAAATAGAAATAATCCTGCAGGGTTTCAACTTTATGTTTAAACGTTAACTTATTTAACAAAATTAGGTTGTTAACGGTTTTAATCCCAATTAGGATATTTTTGTCTAATACAGATGGGGGGGGGGGAGTCTCCCCATGATTTTAATGTCCTTAGAGTTGAGATAGAGGAGTGTGGTACATGTCAATAGTCTAACTTTTCAAGGCCTGCTCATTAAAATAATTAGACCTCTAACTTTCAAAAAGTTCAAAAAGTACGTTGGAAAAATGTTCAAAATAAATATTTTTACGTTTGATAAATCTGACATCTATTTTTCAAGGGCCTTATTAGCACTTTTTTGGATAAAAGTTTTTTTTTTGCAAAATTTGTTCACAACTATGATTTTGAAAAAGCGAAGAAGTTTTAGCGTTCTAATGTATGCCATTTTTAAGTTATTCAGAATAAACCCCCCAACCTTGAAAGGGTTAAGAATTGAACATTTTTCTATATCTGAACTTTGATAGTTCTTATTTTTCATTCATAATCACAATCTATTAATTGTATTTTGAAGGGTGCCTTAGAGATCGTTGCTAAATTTGAGATCTTTTATTTCTTTAATTTTTATTAAGAACTAAAAGAACGAAAAAGGCTTGAAGGTGGTAAAAATACCATTTTCGTTTTTCTAATTCCATTTTTTTAATTCCAGCATTGCACAGCGGTTTAATGTTTTTCATTGTATTCCTATGATTATAAATGCACCACAAAATGACAAATTAATGTTTAAAATTTAATAGTCTTTTCAAACATTTGAAAACGAGATAATAAAATGGAATTTGCAAGAACATTTTGATCATGGGGCAAGTTTTCAAACAACCTCGATATTTTACAGAACGTGCGCATAAGAATCGTTTTAACATTTTAGCAAAATCAATTGGAAATCTAAAAAATATTGTGAGTTCTCAGCTCCTTCATTTTTTGGTTCTTTTCCTTATGTAGATTTGTTAGAACATGTTCCCAGAAATTGCAAAAATTAAGAACTATTTCTTAATAAAGATTAATCATGAAGTTATAAAATGTTCAATTATTCCATTCATAAAATCGTTATGGAAATTAAAAAATAGAATATGTTTTTATTGACAAATTATTTCTCCAAAAAAAATTAGCTTAGGCTGTATTTGTTTTGATTTGTTTTATCTAAAAGCTGCAGTAAACTTTTTATTTCTTAATCTATTTTTTGTTTTCCTTTTGTATCTGTGGTTTTCTGTTGTGCATGTTGTTTCCTATTGTAAATGTTGTTTCCTGTTGTACCTGTGGTTTCCTGTGGTACATGTGGTTTCCTGTTGTACCTGTGGTTTCCTGTTTTACCCGGGGTTTCCTTTGGTACATGTGGTTTGATTGTGTACCTGTGGTTTCCTGTTGTACCTATAGTTTCCTGTTGTAACTGTGGTTTCCTGTTGCACCTGTAGTTTCCTGTTGTACCTGTGGTGTCCTGTTGTACCTTTGGTTTCCTGTTTCATGTGGTAATCTATTGTACCTGTGGTCTACTGTTCTACCAGTGGTTTCATGTTGTACATGTGATTTCCTGTTGTACTTGTAGTTTCCTCTTGTACATGTGTTATTCTGTTGTACCTGTGATTTCCTGTTGTGCATGTGTTATTCTGTTGTACATGTGGCTTCCTGTTGTACCTGTGGTATTCTGTTGTACATGTGGCTTCCTGTTGTACCTGTGGTATTCTGTTGTACATGTGGTTTCCTGCTGTACCTGTGGTATTTTGTTGTACATGTGGTTTGATTATGTACCTGTGGTCTTCCAAGAATCTTCTACAGGTCCAGCACAAAAGAGTTCGTTGTTAAAGTCCTCAGATCCGAAATCTTCAGGTGTTTCACTGAAGGGAAACTTTTCGAGCTCCTGAAATTATTTTTAGATATGTTACAAAACAGCACTTTTTTGGATCATATGAACCCTTAGGTGAACCCTTAAATATCCGAAAATGGTTAATATCTTGTCTATTCTCTAACTCAGGAATAAAAATTTACTGATTTTTCTCTGTGTAAAAATGACCATGTTTTCCACCGGGCCGAAATTAAAAATTCAATGCATATTCTTGAAGGTAATGTAACTTGAAATCAGGTTTAGAGTTCCGTTAGAATTAGATCATAGAAATCATAAAAATGTATTACCTGAAATAAGTTGTCGGCCTGGGTATCATTTGGATCACTTTGAGTCCTAAACACCAATAATTCAAGCAATCAATCAAATATTCGATGAAAAATTTATGATTTAGTTAAAATCTAAAAAAAAAGAAATTTAATTGCTAACCTGGAAAATGTCTCGATAAATGGCGGTTTGATTTGAAATGGTTGACCAGAAGGAAAACTTGTTCTTTGTTCTGATTCTGTTCTCTCAACAGGAATACTAGATCTGTCCAGACCCAGGCTTGGCCGGTCAAAGCTGTTCCTGTCTTGACCTCCATGCGGTATGTCCGAGGGGAATCCAGGAAAACTGGTTCTTGGCGCCCCCGTATAGCTAGGCCTGTTCTGCATGTAGTCAGGCAACGTTCGTCCGCTCAGTCGAGCACGCAGTTGAGGGGATTCATTGACTGGGGTGCTGGTTGGGATCTCTTTCTCCAGATTTGGATTGTAATATGGTTGTCCTCCTCCTCCTCCTCTAAACCCACGACTGTTTACAGGTACTCCAGTCCCGCAGTGGCTCATGCTCACGGGGCTTCCTAACCCTGGTCCCATCATTGCACCAGGAACTCCTGGTCCCATCCCTGTGCCCCCTGGTCCATTAAGTCCCATCCTAGATCCTGGATGTCCCATTCCTGGACCCGATGGGCTTCCTGGTCCAATGCCAGGTCCAAAATGTCCTTGATTCATGTAACCAGGTCCTGATGGGATAAAACCATGCTGAATACCTGGTCCAATCGGACCACCTGGATGGTCCATGTACATACCAGTCTGTCTGTGTACATACATGCTTCTGGGATGATCATGAACAGGCAGTCCCCGCATATCCTGATATTTATCTATATGATAGGGTGCCCGGGGTGAATTCATTCCATACCCCATCCCCATATGAAGCCCATGGGGACCAACCCTTCCCCGACTTGAATCCAATCTAGCCTGTATTGGGTCCAACATTTCAGGCCCCTGGACCACCATAGTGTCCGCCATAAACGGCCCACGCCCGGCCCAGGGAGTTTGTGAGACGGGTAAATGATATGTAGGGGTATAGCGATTGTAGGTTTTACGTATATCTGTCATACCTCCACCATCAATCATATTTGGTTGTTGATGCTGCTGTTGTTGCTGTTGCTGCTGCTGCTGCTGAGCATGGTGCTGCTGCTCTTGCTGCTGATATTGTAGATTCCAAGAGCTGTTTGTTTCGTTGGATTGAAAGTTGCCTAAGTGAAAGATGGATTAAATTTAGAAATGATAGATATTGTTAAATCAGTACCTTGAGATAATTATGTTCGGTTAATTTGCAGAATTAAATTGAAAAGTTTAAAAGTGCAATCTTTTGATAAAGAAGTTTTGGTTTAATAGTTTTTACTTAGATGTTTCACAAGGGAATTTATTTTGAAAAATTACTTCCGCTCATATTAGGTTTGCAGCAAAAAGGAAAAATCGTTTTGCGAAAAATCTTTTTTCGAAAATTTCGCTTCAATCTATTTTCCGTAAAAAACAAATTTTTCGCAAAATAAGAAATGCGAAAATTTAGCGGAAAAATGGGAAAAATTTCGCAAAAAATTCGGAATTACAAAGTTAAAGACAAAAGTTTTAGACATAAAAGAGAAAAAACCTATGGTTTTCACCAACATATTTCAGCGAAATGCAAAACTTTTGCGAACATTTTTTTTCTCGTATTTTTTGCTTCGTTTTCGCATTTTTCGCTATATTCATTTTCACAAAAAAAAGAGAAATTTCACGAAAGAGTTTGCTTACCATTGGAATACGGAGGAGAATTCATTCTCTGGGGATTTAATCCCCCAGGATTTTGTTCGTCCTGTAGTACGCTATTCCTTTGATCCTGTAATCCACTGGTTCTCTGGTCTTGTAGTCCGCTAGCCCTCTGATAGTCCGAACGATTTGCAATTCGCTCTGATTTAAGTTTGACCAAAAGACGTCCAACATTTGGGTTGGATTGGATCAAAGAACTCACCGCCTTAATAATATTCAATATTTTATTATTTTATGTTCATGTTCAATTTTCATGGTTCATGTTCTCGTTCTATTTTCATGGTTCATGTTCATTTTCATGGTTTAAGTTCATATCTATATTTATAGTTTTGTTAATGATCTTTACATATTCATGATCATGTTTGTTATTTTGTTTATGCATTCTATGTATCTCATTATGATGTTGTTGTTCAAGTATGCTCATGTATAATTGTTCAAGTTGTTGTTTAATTGTTTAAGTTCATGTATTATTGTTCAAGTTAATGTATAATTGTTCAAGTTTATGTAAAACTGTTCAAGTTAATATATATAATTGTTTAAGTATTGTACGTTCATTTACAATTGATCATGTATAACTGTGCTAAATCTTGTTCTTAATTGTATTAATGTATTCATTGTTGATGCATAATTGTAAATGTTATTGTATAATGATTCATGTTCATTGTTTATGTATAATTTTGCTATGTACAGATTTATTTATAATTTCCAGTGCAGTTTATAAACAGGTTCATGTACAGGTTCATGTACAGGTTAATGTACAGGTTCATGTAAAGGTTTATGTTCAGGTTCGTGTACAGGTTAATGAACAGGTTCATGTAGAGGTTAATGTACAGGTTCATATTCAAATTCATGTACAGGTTTATGTACAGGTTCATGTAAAATGTACAGGTTCATTTACATGGTGCAGGTTCATGTACAGGTTAAAGTACAGGTTCATGTAAAGGTACATGCACTTTATTAAGGTTGAGGTTAGTACAGGTTGTTGAATTAGAAATTGAAATACCTGAGATTTTTGCTGTTGAGAGAGAACCCGAGATTTTGCAATTTCACTCAGCCTACGTAGATAGACAGATAGATAGATAGATATAGATAGATATAGACAGATAGATAGATAGAGAGATAGAAATATAGATAGATGGATAGATAGATAGATAGATAGATAGATAGATAGATAGATAGATAGATAGATAGATAGATAGATAGATATATATATAGATAGATAGATAGATAGATAGATAGATAGATAGATAGATAGATAGATAGATAGATAGATAGATAGATAGATAGATAAAAGAATTAAGTGAGTTAAAAATTTACTTTTTTAATGTTTGAATATCATCTGGAGTCAGGTTTCCGGCCATCCCGGATGCTTCCAGAGCTCCCCGGATCCTTGCTTTCTTAGTCTCCGCTGAACCCGGAGTTTCTCCGTTCTGAAAACAAATTAAGTTAATTTTATCAGTTGATGCGTAAATGTAATGTTTAAGTGGTTCTCCTATAAAAAAGAATGTCAGAATCCCAACAGAACCCTTAAATGCTTTGTCTAATAAAAAATGAATAAGATAATCATTTTTTTCTGTGGGAAAATTATATATTTTCAAATTTGGTTTATCTAGAAAATTTTGTTTTGAATTGATGAGATTAAGTTTTGAAATGTATCGGAGGAAAACTTTAAATTACAAGTATAGCTGCCTCATAAGAGTTGAAACCTCTCCTAAAACTCTAATATTATAACCTTAGAAGAGTTCTGTTCAATTCATAGTGCGTTCATGTTGTAAAATTATTGATAGGGTTTCTTTATATTGCTTCATGAATATACAGAAGAATAGAGTCTGGACTACGTGGGAAACATGTTTTTTTTTAAACTTAAGAAAAAATTAGAAAATTGTAAACATCTTCTCAAACTTGTATTGAATTTAATGTAATATAAGTAACATTTTTTATCACACAAATCATAATAAGATTATAAATAATAATCATATTTAATTGTTTTAATAAACCTCACCTCCATCATACTCTCGTTTTTAAACTCGTCTGGCTCCATTTTACCTCTGTATTAAATTATAGAATTTTATGCATTTTGATGGTTTTTACTTGTTTTGATGTTTTTGAATGCTGTCTTAAATTTTTTTCTAGCTATTAGGTTAAATAATAACACGAACGTACCGTCGTCAGCTAAAATACGAACGGCTACCTGCTGGGGATAAAATATTATTATTCCTTAAATGTTTTCGTTAAATTATCGTTAACGGCTGGCACCGTTAACGATTTCTGAAATATCTGCTGTTAACAGCAGTTAACGCCGTTAATATTAATAATATTGATATTGTTAATGAAGGGTAGATTTTTAAATAACGGGAAATACTGTTAACGAAACGTACGTTTCGTTTTTAGCTTGAACGTAAGGCTACCTTTTCTACAGTGAAACCCTTAATAACGAATACATCGAAAGAATTCATCAAATGTCGTATTCTTCACTTTCTGATAATGGAATGTTACAGATATTTAGTTTTTTAATTAAATGATTATATGAAACTCTTTTAAACTGTTCCCGCATATTCATGGCTATTTATTTATTTTCGCAAATACTGAAATTTACCAAATATAGTATAAAACTCATTGAAAAATTGTCAAGACGACATTTTATCCATATATATATTCAATATGTAGATAGTAAAGATATACAACTAATAAACACTAGAAAATGTATATGCACAACTAGCTGAAGTTTCCACCGCTGTTTTCCAGAAAGAAAAGTAAAGCATAGTTACTTAGATATATGATATACTAGCTTGAGAACCCAGCGTTGCCCAGGGTACTCATAGTTACTCCCGCAGTTTACCCGCGCTTGGTCGTATATTACAATATTAACTATTTTTTCTTGTAAAAGTGAACCCACTCAACTAAGAATCTCAAAACCAAGATCATTCCCTTATACAAACAGAGATTACAACTTTACATAGCACGGGTAGCCGTAGCACATTTGAATTTCCGAACCGGGTCAACCTTTCCGGTGCCAGTTTGTACTGTATCGCCCAGACACTGATAGAACTAGCCGGTGCAACAAGGTTGACGCGGTGAGACTTTAGGTTGAATTAACTTTTACTAAAGTGTCAGGGGTGGGTGATAGTTATATGACTGATTTACAGTATATTTTTATATATATTAACGAAATAAAGTTTGAATACAATATTACATATTAACATATTACATTTTAAAAATATAGAGATATATTGGAAACCCAATCTTTACCAGGACACTAAACTATCCTCCTAAAAGTAAATCTAAGTCCATTCCCGTGGTTCTACCAAGTTACTTAATCAATATTTAAGCCAAATCAGTCCAGGGGATCAAGAGTTGTGATTGGACATTTAAACAAGCAAACAGAGATCACAACTTTACATTAAAGATTCTCGTGATTTTATGTGCTCGTAAGTAACATAAAGTAAATGTAGCAGTATCTATATATAAAGTAGTAATCTCTGTTTCTCTGTTTGATTGTTTGGATGTCAGATCATAACTCAGGAACCCTTCGACTGATTTTCCTCAAACTGTGATTGGAGAACTTGGGAGAACCACAGAAATGTTCTTAGCTTGGTTTTGAGATTCTAAGTTGAGTGCTAAGATCGTGGTTTAAGACCGACCAAGTGCGGGTAAACGGTGGGAGTAACTATGAGACCTCTGCGCAACGCTGGTTCCCAAACTTTATATGCATTTTATATTATACATAGATTATACTTCCATATAAATAATTTATATCATAATAATAAATAAATATATATATATATATATATATATATACATGTTTTTATACCTGTATGTTCGATTGGTTCTTCTACTTCCTCTTTACACTAAATTTTTAAAATTCAAATATTTACCGGGCACTGCACTCAGTTCTGCGTACTTCAATGTAATAATAAAGTGTATTTGGTTACAAAGCTAATAGTTTACTTGTAACATATAACAAGTATTAAGTGAAATGGGTCTGTTTACACTGCAAAATTGCTGTGTCGCATGCTCACTGAATATTTTCGTTTATCTCTGTATACTTTATAGTTGACTTGCAGCAAAAACACACAACAAAACCAGGAAAACACACAACAAAACCAGGAAAAACCCACCAAAAAAAGACAGCAGATAACCAAACTAATAAAAAGAACAAATAATATGACAGAGTTTGAATTTTTCCTTCAGTATTTTGCTTGCTCCGACATCAGAAAACCCAGATTCGAGTTTCCGTTTTGCTCCGCCTCCATTTCCACCCTCCGGCCCCCCTACCGCCCCACCATCCGCCTCGCCTTCTATCACTCCCTGGAGCATACTAGAACTGGAGTAAATGGAACTTGATGTTGAGAGACTGGTTTTTGGACTGGCTGATGTTGTATAATAAGGTTGTTGCGGACTCCTCGAGATATAGTTTAGCGGGTTCGAACTGGAGTTCACAAGTTTAGAGTACTCCGGGTTGGAATTTAGGCCTAAAAGCAAGTCATATTTAAAAGAAAAACAAGGACCTCGAGCTCTTTAATCATTGTGCAAAGACGGTATCGATCCTTTGAACTATTACTCTGTATTTTTTTATTTTATGAATTAAACTGAATTAGTGTGTTCAAATTTGTTCCCGTAAAATAACAATGTGTTCTCTCACTGTGTTCTCTCAATGTTCTCTCACTGCAGTTCTCTCACTGTGTTCTCTCAATGTTCTCCAACTGCAATTCTCTCTCTGTGTTCTCTCACTGTGTTCTCTCACAGCAGTTCTCTCACTGTGTTCTCTCACAGCAGTTCTCTCACTGCAGTTCTCTCACTGTGTTCTCTCACTGCATATCTCTCACTGTGTTCTCTCACAGCAGTTCTCTCACTGCAGTTCTCTCACTGTGTTCTCTCACTGCAGTTCTCTCACTGTGTTCTCTCACAGCAGTTCTCTCACTGCAGTTCTCTCACTGTGTTCTCTCACTGCAGTTCTCTCACTGTGTTCTCTCACAGCAGTTCTCTCACTGCAGTTCTCTCACTGTGTTCTCTCACTGCAGTTCTCTCATTGTGTTCTCTCACTGCAGTTATCTCACTGTGTTCTCTCACAGCAGTTCTCTCACTGTGTTCTTTAACCAATTAGAAGCGAGTAGTCATATATCACAGAGATATAGACAAATCTGAAACCTTTAGACAACCTAAACTTTAAAGTGTCGCCATGCCTTGGTCTTTGGTTTTATCTCACCAACTCACTTAAACTTTTTTGTAGTCCTTTTGTATTTATTCTTATAATGTAAGGGGGAGTTAGGGAAAAATAAAAGGGGGTTTAGGCTGAAGCCTAAACAGTTTAGGAGTTGATCGCGACCAAAATTATTTCTATCTAATGTACCTGTTTCGAGAAAATGTTATAAAAGTTTTACCAAAACTCATTTAAATGATATTTTGTCTATGAATCAAAGAAGACGACAATTCTCGCAGATTTCTAGATAGGTCGAACTTACTTCGATTTATTTAGATTTATCGAACATGTATCGAATATTTAGATATTTTGAACACAATGTTATAGATTTTCTAAAAGTATAGTCAAAATACAATTGACGTTGAATGATTATCACAGATCCACGTCAGCAGAAATAATCTGTAATTTGTTTAATTGTGCTTCATCGTTAAATATATATATACTAACAGATCCTTAAATAAACTCAGTCCTTGCCACATAAATTTGTATTTTCTAATCCCTATCTGGAAGTGTAAACCCTTTATACTTCAAACTTAGACTATTTTATCCAAAATAATTTATAGTATGAAATAGCTATGGCTTACAACATCAGAATGTAAAGATATAGGGATAAGAAAATAAGAGTTTGTGGCAAAGATATAGGGAACAGAGAATAAGAGTTTGTGGCAAAGATATAGGGAACAGAGAGTAAGCTTTTGTGGCAAAGATATAGGGATCAGAAAATAAGCTTTAGTGGCAAAGATATAGGATTCATAAAATAAGAGTTTGTGGCAAAGATATAGGGAACAGAAAATAAGAGTTTGTGGCAAAGACTTGTTTTCTTTCCTTTAAAGTTTAAAGCTAACCCAACAATTTAAAAGGGAATATTTTAAGGGTTTTTATTTTATATTTATTTCATACAAAACCGCCCAGAAAATTCTGATGGAACGATTACATATATAAAAAAAATCCAAAAAATTAAATGTTTTTTGGGGGTGGGGGGGGGAGCGTACCTTCATTAAATCCTAGTCTAAGTCCAGGAATATCAAGGGAACCACGTGGCCTCAAATCATTAACAAGAGCTGTTCTGGGAGCAAAAGAGGAATGCCGGGGACTAACAGGTGATCGTCCTTCAGTACTGTACAGGGACTGACTGGACGAGGGCCGAAGGACGAATGGTGGACTATTTGAAGGATTTCGTTTTGGTGAGGAGGAATAGTTTCCATTATTTAGTCCAGGTGGTAAGTTGTTTGATAGATCTTGATATTGTTTAGCAGGGTTTAAACCAGGGGGGTTGACAGAACTAGGAGTATTTGGAGTTTTAGGTTCCGAAAACTGCTGAGGGGGTTCTGACGAGTTTCTAGGGCTCCCTAAGGGATGGTTGGAGGGTTCTGGGGGTTGGTTAGGGATCCCTGAAGGGTTGTTAGAGGTCCTTGAAGGGTTGTTGGGGGTCCCTGAAGTAGGGTTTAGTGTAGATGTAGGAGTAGAGGGGGTCTGGGGACTGTTCAGATAAGCATATAACTCCCCAATTAAGTCCTCAGTGTTCATCATCTGAAAATATAGACAATATAAGATTTTCAGTAAAAAGTTATGATAATAATTGTAATAATATTAACAATAATAATAATAATTTCTTAATTTAATGAAAATTAAATATAAATACAAGCCATGAATGATTAATTTCAAGAATAGCAAAGATAAAAATCTGTTTCATAACAATTCTTGATAAAACCTAATTTTACAGCGTGATTTATTAAGAGAATAGGAACAGTAATTAACAAGGAACTGGAACACTGAATACCCAAAACAGGAACACTAAATAACTTGGAACAGGAACACTGAATAACCTGAAACAGGAACACTAAATAACCAGGAACAGGAACTCTAACTAACCTCGAACAAAAACACTAAATAACCTGGAACAGGAACACTAAAAAACCTGGAAGAGGAATACTAAATAACCTGGAACAGGAACACTAAATAACCAGGAACAGGAACACAAAATAACCTGAACAGGAACACTAAAAAACATGGAACAGGAACACTAAATAACGTGGAACAGGAACACTAAAAACCTGGAAGAGGAATACTAAATAACCTGGAACAGGAACACTAAATAACCTGGAACAGGAACACAAAATAACCTGAACAGGAACACTAAAAAACATGGAACAGGAACACTAAATAACGTGGAACAGGAACACTAAAAACCTGGAAGAGGAATACTAAATAACCTGGAACAGGAACACTAAATAACCTGGAACAGGAACACAAAATAACCTGAACAGGAACACTAAAAAACATGGAATAGGAACACTAAATAACGTGGAACAGGAACACTAAATAACCTGGAACAGAAACACTGAATAACCTGGAACCGGAACACTAAATTATCAATAAGATCCCACGTTAATGAGTAAAAGACAAACCGTTGTAAATGGTCTTCTCTGGTTCCATTCTCGTTCTTCAGTTTAGTTCTTCTCTTCCATTTTATTACTAGAGCTGGAGTCAAATCCGTTCCGCTATACTGCTTAGAGGTGCTATGCTATCCGTCCCCCTTTACTGCTGAGTGGTGCTATGCTATCCGTCCCACTTTAATATGTTGTGTGGTGCTATACTATCCCACTTTACACTGTCGGGTGGTGCTATGCTAACCGTCCCGCTTTACAATAACAACTGTAGTTATAGTATTTGTCACACTTGACACTATTGAGTGGTACTATGCTAACCGTCCCACTGTACTATTCAGTTAAAATTTAAGTTATTGGTGAATCGTCCAACTTTACATGGTCTCTGAAAATATGTATTATCTGTCCCACTTCTAACTGTTAACAGGAGCTATGTTAACCTTAGCACTGACGCTATATTATCCGACCAACTGTCTTGATAATTATAGCAATGTTATCCGTCCCACTGTTCTTCTTCTGAAAAGATGTTTTGCCACTTAAAACTGGTCATGTTTAAGCGTATCACTGTTGCAATGGTATCTGTCCCAATGCATTGAAGTTTTTTCTCCCCAAATCTACATTCATTCTGCTTTCCTTTCTTCTCCTTCTCCTCGTTACTTCCTTTCTTCTCCTTCTCTTCTTTCCTTTCTTCTCTTTCTCCTCGTTACTTCCTTTCTTCTCCTTCTCTTCTTTCCTTTCTTCTCCTTCTCCTCTTTACTTCCTTTCTTCTCCTTCTCTTCTTTCCTTTCTTTACCTTCTCCTCGTTACTTCCTTTCTTCTCCTTCTCTTCTTTCCTTTCTTCTCCTTCTCCTCGTTACTTCCTTTCTTCTCCTTCTCTTCTTTCCTTTCTTCTCCTTATCCTGTTTACTTCCTTTTTTCTCTTGACGTTTCTTCAGAAACCAGTCTGAAAAAATAAATATTAAAAAATCAATTAAAATTTACAATTTTATAAATGTTTTTAATTGCTTTGCACTCCTAGAAACATTATTCCTAGTCGACTTTAATCACACCAATAATGAAGCGAAAAATAATGAATATAAAAGTGAAATATTATTAGAAAAACTTAAATATATGATTAATATATAGTTGTGTAAGGCCGGGCAAGAGAGATAAAGAATAAATTGAGGAAATCTCTCTCTCATGCAATAATATTGAGCAACATTGTCAGCTGTTCAATGGACTGTCTACTTAATTTCAAGCTGTTAAAGGGACTGTCCACGCAATTTCAAGCTGTTAAAGGGACTGTCTACGTAATTTCAAGCTGTTAAAGAGACTGTCCACGTAATTTCAAGCTGTTAAAAGGACTGTCCACGTAATTTTAAGCTGTTAAAGAGGCTGTACACGTAATTTCAAGCTGTTAAAGGGACTGTCTACGTAATTTCAAGCTGTTAAAGGGACTTCCCACGTAATTTTAAGCTGTTAAAGAGGCTGTACACGTATTTTCAAGCTGTTAAAGGGACTGTCTACGATATTTCTAGTGATCCTTAAGCATGCCTATTTTTAAGATGTCCCCCACTCTAAATTAAGTGCACAGTCCCTTTGAGAAACAGCTGTAATTCAAAAGCTGTCAAAAACAGCTTTATTGTGTGTCCTTTGCGGAAGGCTAATTAAAACAAATTAAAAATGTAGTTCAGCTTGTTTTATACTCCTACTCCTACTCCTACTCCTACTCCTACTCCTACTCCTACTCCTACTCCTACTCCTACTCCTACTCCTACTCCTACTCCTTCTCCTACTCCTACTCCTACTCCTACTCCTACTCCTACTACTTCACCTACTCCGACTCTTACTCCTACTCCTACTCCTACTTCTACTCCTACTCCTACTCCTTCACCTACTCATACTCCTACTCCTACTACTACACTATATTAGTATAAAAATATGCATGTTAGGTTCTAGGAAGGTAGAAATTTGAAACCATAAACAATTTTGAATATTTATTTTAAATCTCAAGAAATATTTATTTCTTTTCGGTAAATTTTTTCATTTTGAATTTTTCTGTCTGATGTATTTGTGCTGCCATTGTTTGATAATCGACTACTATGGGAAAAAGTACGTTTTCGAATAGAATTTTGCAACCCAACATAGTGCATTAAACTTGCAATCTTGGGACCCGATCATACGAAATATAAATGCATTTTTATTTATCAGCACAATACACGGCGGATGAACCTCGCATTTGAAATTACAATGATTTAACAATGCTGTTTTGAAAAGTATTCGTTAAAAGGAACTTTAAGTGATTCTCCAAACAAAAATGTCGATGTCCGATTTACGACAGTACCCTAGAAACCTTAACCTGGATATAAATTGTGGAATCGTTTTTCGGAAATCGGAGACCAGAGCTGAAAACTTTAGAATGGTGGATATCGAGATTAATGCTTGATCTCCTCTTTTTCTTAATTTCCAGATTAAATAATGCTTGTTCTCCTCTTTTTAATAATCTCCAGATTAATTAAACGATCGGGATTAAGAATATCCCATTCTAAAGTTTTCAGCTCAGAGCTGGGAACTTTAGAATGGATAACCTTTAAACTCAACTATTTAATCCGAATATCCACTGTGGAAACTTTTAATTTTAGTCCTAAATTCACTCTTTTTCTCTCTCTTTGGATACCCGTACATTGTTTTTTTCCAATGAGAGTGCGGGAATATAGTTCGTAAATTGCATTGACCAATGACAGCCTTGAAAATAAATTCTATCCTATGAGAGAAATCCGCAATTTCTAACGAATTGAGAATATGTTGTCGGCCATTTTTTTTAAATTAATCGGTGAAGAAAATTATTTAATAATACGTTTGAGATCCTTTTTTGACCAATTTTAACTAATGTATTAATAAATAAATGGGTGAGAAATTAAGTGAGGGCCCTTTCAGTCAAGAAAAAAAACAAATCTGGCGTTCCTAGAATCAAATTTGTTGATCTAAATATTTAATCTGAGCTGGGAACTTTTAAATGGTGGATATCGGGATTAATGCTTGATCCACTCTTTTTCTTAATCTTAAGATTAATTAATGCTTGTTCTCTTCTTGTAATTAATCTCCAGATTAATTAACCGATCAGGATTAAGGATATCCCATTCTAAAGTTTTCAGCTCTGAATATTTTTTTCTCCATTGTTTCTTAAAATGCGCAAGCTACTTTTTCAGAGAAACCGCAAATGAAAACAAACCGTTCAAAGAAACAAAAACATAAATATCTAATACATACTTTAGAAGACAAAGCTTTCAAGTGTACCATTGTAAATCGGACATTGTCTTTATGGCATTGAAGGTTATTGATCAGTTCCCCTATTGATCCATTCCGCTCCTTTTTAAGGTTCTTTAAGATAAGATAAGATATAGTTTATTGCTAAAAATACAAGTTATAATGTTACAGGCAAAAAATCTGCAACTATTTTTATATTGTTTACTTTATGTATATATTATAGCAATTAGGTGGAGATTAGCTATTTGCTAATTAATATTAAAACGTTTACAATATGATGAATATTACTAGGCTATGAAAGTTTACAATAAGCCAGGGATTACTAGTTAAATTTAGAGAGACCGAGGTGCAGCATAACAAAATAATTGATTTTCTAGTTTTAAAGTTTAGTACATAACAGAATAAGATTAAGAAAGTACAAAAATCTATATTCATTTTTTGCAAGAATAACAAAGGTTTATTGCACTTTGAGATGTAGGCGTCAGATAACATTTCAAATAAACTTTTTAAAAATATACCTAACGTTTTTTTAATCAATTCTGGGTTCTGAGCCCCTTGATTACCCCCTTGATTGATCGGAGTGACCCTTTGATCAGATTTACCCCTTGATCACTTGATTTTGCCTTCTGATTAATTGATTTTTCCCTGCATTTACTTTTTATAAATATTAGTATGCACGGAGTAGCGTCTGACAAAGCTAGATGATTTATATCAAACAATGTAACATTCAATCATTCGACATTAGGTTTCAATTATCTACGGAAATAATAGTTTGTCGTCGTTAATCTGATAGATTTCAGTACAACCAGTACGCTCTCCGCTGCCATTTTTTCTACATTATAGTTTTAATTTCAGCTGAGAATGAAAGAGAGAGAGTATATGTCGAAACCACTTTCGAAAATACTGAACCGTCCCATAGCCTATAAAACTGTGGAATAATAAGACTCAAATTTTGATTTAAAATAGCCTTGGTTACTGTAACTGTGCCCATGGTATTGCTAAACTTATTGATATATCATACCTAATTGTATATGTATAGATATCAATAAAATACTTATCTTAAAATTATTTTTAAAATAAAAGTTTAAAACCTTCTTATAAAAATAAAACCACACTGATAATTTTGGATGCTTTACTAAAGCGAATACATAAAGTTGACGCACAAAATTAGCTGTTTTTTCAGTTTTTTTTGTGGATACTCAAATGATAAAGCAGGCACAATAATGACGCACATTTAGGGTACACATTTATAATCCATATTGAGAACGTGGACGTACATTAAGGACACATATTTAAAATATAAGGATAAAGAGGCATATTGAAAATATAAGGATAAGGACGCATATTGAAAATATAAGGATAAGGACGCATATTGAAAACATAAGGATAAGGACGCACAACAGAGAGCGTCATTTAATATATGAATAAATTCACCATTTCACAGTTAAAGCTTCATATGAAACACTACAATAAATATATGACAATGTGCAGGGTGTCTCACGAAACATGACAGTTGGTGAATAGTTTGAAATTTATTTTTCCATATTGTTTTGTTTGATACCGAAGATAATAATAAATAATATTATATGTCTGTCATTTTATAGTACAATTGATTTCAAAGCAAAATATATTAAAGTAAAAGGTATTTTTTAACGAAATAAACTGTTAATAACAATAACAGTGCAAGAAAACATTCAAAACTATTCACCAACTTTCATGTTTTTCATGTTTTGTGGAACACCCTGTATGTAAACAGAATTATATTTTGAATTGCGTTGTACGGATTTCACTCTATTCAGAGATAGTGTAATATCACAGAAACTCGCCCCAAAGGAATATATTTGTAAGATCGAATGAAAGCAATATTAAGTTATGCTCTCAATACCAGAAATTTTTCTAAAAATTCTAGGGAAAAAAATTAGAAAATATCTTAGGGGGCGGGGGGTATGGAAGGGAAGAGTAGGGATGGAGTTGGGGAAGGAAGAGTGGGGGAGAGGGGAAGTAAAGGGGAGGGATTGGGAAGTGGTTTATGAGAGACAATGAGATTATTCATGCAAAACATGAAAAGAGAAAAGAGAGAAATGTCAGGTTAAAGGGATACAGTACATAGATAGATAGATAGATAAATAGATAGATAGATATATAGAAAGATAGATAGATAGATATATAGATAGATAGATAGATAGATAGATATATAGATAGATTGATAGAAAGATAGATAGATAGCTTGGAAAGATAGATATATAGATAGATTGATAGAAAGATAGATAGATAGCTTGGAAAGATAGATAGATAATAGATTTATAGAAGGATAGATAGATAGATAGATAGATGAATGTGCATTGAAAATTAATTTTGAGACACAGTGCACTAATCTTATTCTTGGAGGAATTACTGGCTGTGACAGCTTGTGACAGCTAGAGAGGAAGGCCTAGGCCTAGGCCTAACAGCTGACACAAGCTGTTAAGTTACCAGCTGTCACTCTAAATATTAGCTGTCTTGTAGCTGGAACTTAGGATAGAAAAACTTTTTTTTATAATTGTTTACATTAATATTTATTTTAAATTTTTATATTTCAGATTTAAAACGTATCTATAGATTGTAAAATCAAAATTATTTAAAATTAATAGCCTTCGACCTCTAGTGAAAACAAATTTTACAAATCTTTTTTTCAAGAAATCCTCAATTTAGTTTTTAGAAACACCTGATTTTAACTATTATAAAGATTAGCATTAGATGCTTGATTTAACAAATCATCAAATGAAAATTTTAGATCAGGCAAAACTATTTTTTAAGACTTTTTAAAACTGTTGCATTGCTTGTAGCTAATTATAAAAGACTAGCTAAAGTGACTGGCGTTGCCTGTGAAAATTAAAAAATTCGTCCCACCCTTGGCAGAAATCTAATCTTTCGTGAAATAAATGATTTACATTTTAATATTTTCCGCATCTTGGCTTTTTAAAAAAAGAATACACGCACCTCTGACCCTTTAGTAAAAGTAATATCAACCTAAAGTCTCACCGCGTCAACCTTGTTGCACCGGCTAGTTCTACCTGCCTGCTTTATTTAACCAATGTCCGGGCGATGCAGTACAAACTGGGACCGGAAAGGTTGACCCGGCTCGGAAATTCAAATGTACTACGGCTGCCCGTGACTATGGAATATAGATGCTCTTGCACACAGATTCAGACTAGTTAAAAAAGTTGCATTCACTTTTAATACTTGTTTTTAGTATTAAGAAGTCATTGGCAAAACTTTCATAGATTTTTACTTCAGAGATTTGAACATTTGTATGTTGTGGGCTGTGGCATATCTTCGTATGGAAGCTTTTTAAAGATGTAATCGTGAATCTTTGATATTTTTACTAGTAATTGAAAGTTACTTGTTTCAATGTCCTTGATGTTAAAATCTAATTAATTCTGGAAGTGAATATTTGAATAGAGCGTTATATGCTAAATCCAGAAATATCTAGATTATCTTTAAAGTTAATCTTTTAACACTGATTGGTTTATTTTTATTCTCTACAAGCTGAAGTTCCCGCCATTGTCATGCTAGGACATATAATCTAAGTTTGAAATATCAAAGGTTGCAAAGATTTAGAAATAAGAAAATTTGAATTTGTGGCAAGTACTTAATTTATTAAATTCATTTGTTTTGTTTATCATTTTATAGTAATATATTTTTAAAACTTGGTTTTGATTTCTTAAAATGGTTCTGAAGAAGCCATAAAATCATTTTGTGGCTTTTAATATCAATTCTATAGTTACACAATTCTTCAAGAATGATTTTTTAGATTTAGAAATAGCGCAAGGCTTAGTAAGGTAACTTCTATCATGGTTATAATGCAAGGAAAGTTATTTCAGAGGTGCGCGCATCTTTTGCACTGCGGTGTACTGCAATCTGGGCGGTAATGTAAACACAAAACGGATGTCAAAGCCTGACATGGGAGCCATATTTCACATAATCTATTATGGAAACTATTCTTGTTTACAAATTCCGCCCAGGGAGAACTGGTTTCAATATGTACGCAGAGTATACGCAACTGCAATTAACTTTCCTTGCATTTTACCTTGACTTCAAGGGACTCATTATTTATAGAGTTGCTGGCCCAGTTCACAACTTCAAACCTTTATTGACGCTGGTCCAGTTCACAACAGTACCAACTTCAAACATTTATCAACGCTGGTCCAGTTCACAACAATACAAACTTCAAACCTTCATCAACGGCTGGTCCAGTTCACAACAGTACCAACTTCAAACCTTTATCAACGGCTGGTCCAGTTCACACCAGTACCAACTTCAAACCTTTATCAACGGCTGGTCCAGCTCACACCAGTACCAACTTCAAACCTTTATCAACGGCTGGTCCAGTTCAAAACAGTACCAACTTCAAACCGTTATCAACAGCTGGCTCAGATCATAACATTACCAACTACAAACCTTTATCAACGGCTGGCCCGGTTCACAACAATACCAACTTCAAACCTTTATCAACGGCTGGCCCAGTTCACAACAGTACCAACTTCAAACCTTTATCAACGGCTGGTCCAGTTCACAACAGTACCAACTTCAAAATTTTATCAACGGCTGGTCCAGTTCACAACAGTACCAACTTCAAACCTTTATCAACGCTGGTCCAGTTCAAAACAGTACCAACTTCAAACCTTTATCAACGGCTGGTCAAGTTCACACCAGTACCAACTTCAAACCTTTATCAACGGCTAGCCCAGTTCACAACAGTACCAGCTTCAAACCTTTATCAACGGCTGGTCCAGTTCACACCAGTACCAACTTCAAACCTTTATCAACGGCTGGTCCAGTTCACAACAGTACCAACTTCAAACCTTTATCAACGGCTGGCCCAGTTCACAACAGTACCAACTTCAAAACTTTATCAACGGCTGGTCCAGTTCACAACAGTACCAACTTCAAAATTTTATCAACGGCTGGTCCAGTTCACAACAGTACCAACTTCAAACCTTTATCAACGGCTAGCCCAGTTCACAATAATACAAACTTCAAACCTTTATCAACGCTGGCCCAGTTCACAACAGTACCAACTTCAAACCTTTATCAACAGCTGGTCCAGTTCACAACAATACAAACTTCAAACCTGTATCAACGGCTGGTCCAGTTAACAACAATACAAACTTCAAACCTTTATCAACGGCTGGTCCAGTTCACAACAGTACCAACTTCAAACCTTTATCAACAGCTGGCTCAGTTCACAACATTACCAACTACAAACCTTTATCAACGGCTGGCCCAGTTCACAACAATACCAACTTCAAACCTTTATCAACGGTTGGCCCAGTTCACAACAATACCAAATTCAAACCTTTATCAACGCTGGCCCAGTTCACAACAATACAAACTTCAAACCTTTATCAACGGCTGGCCCAGTTTACAACAGTGCCAACTTCAAACCTTTATCAACGGCTGGTCCAATTCACAACAGTGCCAACTTCAAACCCTTAAAAGTGTTGAATTCTGTTTATTTAATCTAACTTTATATCTAATTGCCAATTATATCAATTTTCATATAAAAAGCAGGGATATCTTAATCATTTTAAATCAAACTATAGTTTTATGCTAATCTTTTTTCGTGCGATGGATCATATAAAAGAATTGAATCCTTGCCACAAACTCAAAATTTCTAATCTCTACATCTTCGCAACCTTTAGTGTAAACCTTTGATATATTTAAACTTTTACTTTTTTATGTAACAGAACTAAAAGTTTGTAATATCTAAAGTCTGCGACATTGGGTTGAAAAGATTTAGGAATTATAAAAAATTCAAGTTTGTTTCGGATCACTTCTATGTTAAAAGTGAGAATATATATGTATCAGGATGTGCTACTATCATGTTTTTTTTGTGGTTTAAAAGAAGCTGGGTTACATAATTATTCTGCTCTTTTATCTTTATAAATTTCAAACTCGGGTTTACTTATCTCTATTCATAAAACCTGAGATAAAAAGGATGTTAACAACAAATGTGGTCGCTATGCTGTAATTTGACAAAAAAATATGGAATTTTTAAATTTGCATCTGAGAGTCACACCTGAAAACATACATAAATTTCCATAAATGGAACGTAGACATAGACTCCATTGTACAGTGACATGTGAGATTCACAACGGTACCCTTTAACATTATTTATGATTAAAGCTAAATAACCTATTCTTTTTTGTGGTTTCTCTGTAAAAGTAAATATTGCTTTGAAATTATCGTTTCACTTGAAATTATGTCTACAGTTCCTTTTTGCTATTATTGTTAAATATTTATATTTATATTTAAAGTTTATCCCAGGACCCATTCAAGTACAAATATTTTCATGATCTGAGTAAAGGTTTTCACAAACAAAAAATAAAAAATATTTTTGTTTTTTTCAACCAAGAGCTTTCGTAAAATCCCTGTACAGCAATAATAATCAAGGGAGGAAAAAAGGCTTCTGTAACTGTATCGGTGGGGTTACTAAGCAGGAAGAGGGAAGGGGAGGGGGCAATAATTATTTTTTCTTAATTCTAAAGATAAATGAAGATTGCAATTTTGAAGCAAATAAATTTCGAAATTTTTTCGAATCGTACATTTTTCTTGAGACGATGTGAACCCCCCCCCCCCCATCTACAAAATTATTGTTTTACCATAAACTTACTGCTTATGCATCTGAAATGTAGTAAGCATGATTGGGCTGAAATACATCATAATTTTTCGTTGTTTTTTTACATAACTACTAGCTTGGGAACCCAGCTTTGCCTGTGAAATCAACTTTCTTTATAAAGCCAACTGTTAAACTAAGCGAGGAACATTCCCGTGGTTCCTCCAAGTTCCCCAATCAAAATTTGAGGCAAATCAGACAAGGGGTTCCTAAGTTATGATCGGACATTCTAACAGACACACAAATTGTCGAATCACTACTTTAAATAAATCGATGGTCCATGTATGAAGACAGTGACCGTAAAACAAAATGGCGGTTTTACAATTTTTGAGTAAATTCCTCTCTATATGGTTTCTATTCTGTGATTCAATGTTTGCTAGGGTTTCAGTGTAGTTTCTCTTTCTGTACTCATGTGTGTGTAAATATATTTTCCATGTGTATATTCAAGGAATATAATTCAAGACTGTACGGTTGGATAAATCTTTTTATATTTTAAAGTTGCGACATCGTACGCATATAGGCCAAACAGAAGGAAGGATGCAAGGTACTAATGCAAGGAAAGTTATTTCAGAGGTGTACACGTTTTTTTGTACTGCAGTGTTCTGTCTTTAGGAGGAAAAGTAAATACAAGACGGATGTCAAAAAGCTGACATTGAATCCAGTTTCACAAAAATAATTTATAACATATTCTGGTTATAAGAAACTATAATTATGTGAATTTTCAAAATTATCAATATTAAATGCGTTTAACCTCCTCGGATACCAAGCAAACACTGAAGCATCTTTTCTTGATTACAAATTCCGTCCAGAGAGAACTGCGCAGAGTATACGCAACCGCAATTAACTCTCCTTGCATTAGTACCTTGGAAGGATGAAACAATCTTGAAGCAAATCTTGAGAAATGGAGAGCAACAAAAAAAAAGGAGATGAAAACGAACAGAGGAAAGGAATTAATATCAATAGAAAAAATTGCATCATTCAAGAAATAAGAAAACATGAAAACATGAAATAGTGTAAAATCACAAGTTTTTAGTTGATAATTTCACATTGGAAACAAACAAACTAATGCAATTTGTAAAGGTGGATCTGTTGCAACCAGTCATGGTGTATTTTGTAACCATCTGGAAGCAATCGAAATTTGATAAATATTGAGTTTCCGGGTGTTTCATGGCAAAGCACTGGCTCATTTATAGCTTAATTTTTACAAAACTGGTTTGTTTATTATTGTTTTTGTTTTTTGTTTTTTTGATATTTTATATTTTGAATTCTGGTTTTTCTCTGATTATATATTCCATGTGAAGTACGAACCACGTAAAACATAGGATTACCATTTTAAGAAAGTATTGAAAGTTTTTCTGAGTGTCTCTTTGATTGAGCCAGTTGTTAGCTATGATGAGCCGGGAGGTGCCGACCATAGCACTAACGATCGGGATGAATATTTCGATCAAACTCTGTCCTTTTTACAGGATTGAATCCGGGATACTTTTAATTTAAGAAAAAAAGGGCGAAAAAGAAACAAATACTCAAAGAATTTTAACTAAGATGAGAAAAAGAAAAAGCAAAGCTTAGAACAAAGAAAGAGTAAAGGCGGACATTCTTTAGATAAACTTTCTTATCAATATCTAGAGACTAGATTTTTGGGAATTTCACAGAGTTAAAGAAGAAAATGCAAACTTTAGAAAATTATTTTTTATTCAGATTTACAGTTGTTTCTACATATTTATTCCCCAGATTTTGAGATAGAAAATCTGGCTTTAATTACGATTAAATTGTTTGAACTTTTAAACTTCTATCTTTAATCTCTGCATCATAACTACAAAATAATTATTAAATCCTGATCCGGGCAGAAATAAGAAAATCAGCTTTCATGAAGCTTTTATATCAGCTCAAAGCCTTTCAGCAATAGCTTATCAACTTAAAGTTTATCAGCTTAAAGCGTATCAGCTTAAAGCTTATCAGCTAAGAGCTTATTAGCTAAAAGCTTATCAGCTAAAAGCTTATCAGCTTAAAGCTTATCAGCTAAAAGCTTATCAGCTAAAAGCTTATCAGCTAAAAGCTTATCAGTTTAAAGCCTATCAGCTTAAAGCTTATCAGCTTAAAGCTTATCAGCTTAAAGCTTATCAACCTAAAGCTTATCAGCTTAAAGCTTATCAGCTTAAAGCTTATCAGCCTAAAGCTTATCAGCTTAAAGCTTTTCAGCATAAAGCTTATTTGCTTAAGACTTATCAGCTTAAAGCTTATCAGCTTAAAGCTTATCAGCTTAAAGCATATCAGCTTAAAGCTTATCAGCTCAAAGCTTATCAGCTCAAAGCTTATCAGCTCAAAGCTTATCAGCAAAAAGCTTATCCGCTTAATGCTTATCACCTTAAAGCTTATCAGCTTAAAGCTTATCAGCTTAAAGCTTATCAGCTCAAAGCTTATCAGCAAAAAGCTTATCCGCTTAATGCTTATCACCTTAAAGCTTATCAGCTTAAAGCTTATCAGCTTAAAGCTTATAAAGCTTATCAGCTTAAAGCTTATCAGCTTAAAGCTTATCAGCTTTAAGCTTATCAGCTTTAGGCTTATCAGCTTTAAGCTTTTCAGCTTAAAGCTTATCAGCTAAAAACTGATCAGCTTAAAGCTTATCAGCTCGAAAGGTTCATGAGAACAAAAGCTATAAAGTTTTTTTTGAGCCGAAAAAAATACAAACATGATTGTAGAACCATTGTGAACATTAAAATTTTTATTTTTAAATCTTCCCTTTTTAAACTAAATTTATATTTATATATTATATATTGTATTTACACTTAAAACAAGCAATATACTAGAAACACATGTTCTCTGCTGTAATTTAGCGCCATCAAACATGTAATAATAGAAAACAGTTTAGGCTTCATCTACAAGAAAGAAAATTTACATTTTTGGGAGGGCAACACGCTCTTCGGACCCTTCAGTTAAAGTAAATTCAACCTAAAGTCTGACCGCGTCAACCCTGTTGCACCGGCCAGTCCTATTAAGTGTCTGCTTTATTAACCTAATGTCCAGGAGATACAGTACAAACTGGGACTGGAAAGGTTGACCCGGCTCGGAAATTCAAATACAACGGCTGCCCGTGGCAAAGTCATTTATTAGAGTCTCCTTAGAAGGAGAAGAGGTTCATTTGGTATGTACTGACCCGTGACAAGTCAGTACAGTACTGTACTGTACTGTACTGTACTGTACTGTACTGTAATATGTGAACACTTTCTCTTCGCAACTATGTTTTGTTCAAAGAAATAATAATATTCACTTTCTATAATTTGCAGAAAATACAAATTTACATTCGAATTTTGTAAAACTGTGTTGAACATAGAATATTCGGGATTTTCAAATAAAATGTGCAACGTCAGCTGCGTTTTCCAGCAATTTAAACACCATTTTACAGATAAACACATGGAGTTCTTTGCCGTCCTTAATCAGTCAAAGGTTTAAACAGTACCATTGTGAATCGGGTAGATGGATCGTCGCTTGAGAAACGGTCGATCCATGTTCTGTTTAAAATCTATTATAACCCATTTTCATCCGTCATCAAATGTAGGGTTTTCCTTTTTTCTATTTTATACTTTTTTCTTGAACTTTGTGTTTTAAATAATATAGTTTTAGAACGTCGCTTACGCTAGTTTTGACGAATTTTGAATAAGAAATCATATTATGAATAATGCACTTGATTGTAAAGTAGTTTACGTGTATACAGGCCCTTAAAGACGTCGAGTCCTAAAGATGTATGTTTGTGCAGTGTTATATTGGATCTTGTGTGAGTTTTTAATCTAATCTAATCTTAGAGAAAACCACAATATAAACAGAAGATACCGAGACAGGCTAAAACGGAAACTAAAAACATTGCACAACAACGAAACCCAGTATTCAGAACCCAGTTTAAAGGCTTGAATTGGTAAATTTAACCTTTATACATATTTCAAACTATAAACTCTGTTACATCAAGCAAGCTAAGTTTAAATTCAATTTTAAACTCACTTAAAACCCAGTTTCACAATTTCACTCGATCTCAAAAGTTTTCGACCCTCTGCAAGCCTGAGTAACATAGCACACTTTAAATTCAGAGAAAAAATAAGAAGGATATGGACCTTATTGTTATTAGACCAAGGTGAGTCAGCAGTTAATTCTCCGCTGAGACTACTGTAAGAAAATTAGAAAATTAGAAGATTTGAAGATTTGAAAATTTATAAATTTGAAAATTTTCCTCAAAAACTGAAGCTATTTTATGAATATCTGACCTAGAAAATTTACATAAAACAGTAAAAACCCAATTTATCAGAAAGGGGGGGGGGAAGGTATAATTAAAAAATTAAAAATTAAGTTTATCATAGTTTTGCCGTTTTAATAAAGGACACAACTTCTTCTATAGGCCAAGTCAGGTACCTTACAAAACTTGTATTCATTAAGATCAGCGGTCACGGGCAGCCGTAGTACATTTGAATTTCCGAGCCAGGTGAACCTTTCCGGTCCCAGTTTGTACTGTATCGCCCGGAAATTGGGTAAATTTAAAGCAGACACTCAATAGGACTAGCCGGTGCAACAAGGTTGACGCGGTCAGACTTTAGGTTGAATTTACTTTTACTGAAGGGTCAGAGGTGCGTGCGGTGTTAAAGCATTTGTTATCTACGTTCTCTGTATTTAATCATTTTCTTTTTACTCTATCTAAAACCGGAAATAGAAATTGAAATTAAATGGAGAAGCTTTTCTTTTTGTATCTCCTTGAAGATAAACGATATTTTAAAGCGTAAAATACGAGAAAAGGTCTTATTCTTTGTGGGTAACCCTGCATAAACATGACTGCTTTCAGTTTTATTTTGTTCAAAGCTCAGAGGTCTTGTGATTTTTAGACAGATTTTAAGATTGATTTTTAGATAGATTTTTAGATAGATTTTTTTCTAGTTTTTTAAGGACGGAGATTCAAAGAAGTTTAGAACGTTTAAATTGAACAATGTTTATGCAGATTAAAATATTTTTTTCTAGTTTAAAGGGAGTGTTTGCGATATAAAGGAGGGTTTTAAATATTTAAATATCCAATGTTTAACAGATGGGCATCGCTTTTGTCAGCGAACGAAATTTTTAAAAAACGAACGATATTGATTGTGAACGATGATGTCGTTCAGAAAGAAACGGACACGATTTGGCTCGTTAAATTTAAAGAAATGAAAAAGAAAGTTTTTAAAAAAGAAAGTAAAAACAACAAAAACGAAAAATTTAAGATCTTTCGAATGATGTTGATAAAAACATTTTTTCAACTGAACTAACGATTTTTCGAACAAACTTTTTTAGAAACGAAATTGTTCGTTTACGTAATTGATGAACGACGTAATGAAACCTACCATCTCTACAACTCACTTTCATATTGCTTCGTTAATAAATTCAAAATATCCGGATGTTCTCTACTACAGGGCTTGGCTAGCCTAGGCTAAAATTCCAGTAAAAAAAATCAGATTTCTCGAAGTGAAATATTCAAGACATTAACTTTTTCAAATTCCAAAAAATTACTTTGTTAAAGATTGATTTTATGTTAAAGTTGCATTAAGTGCTAATGAACAATGTTTTGTTTCATTAGTTATCTTTTTTAAAGCTTTCTGTTTATAATTTAAATTTAAAATTTTTAATTTGAATTTCCTATTTGATTTCATGTATTCTTAAAAGCAGAATAATTTCTATTTATTCCTTAATGTTAAAATCTTAAAGTTTAATCTTATCAATTTAGAACTAGTAAGCTGAAATCTGAACCTACACAATACTCATGTTCTAAATATGAACTGAAAATAAGCAGCATGGGCAAGTTTTCTAGCTTTAGTCATATTCTTAAAGGAACTGTAGACGTAAACTTTAGTGACTCTCACTTTATTAAATACTTTAGTGACTCTCACTTTATTAAAGGAACTGTAGACGTAATCTTTAGTGACTCTCACTTTATTAAAGGAACTGTAGACGTAATCTTTAGTGACTCTCACTTTATTAAAGGAACTGTAGACGTAATCTTTAGTGACTCTCACTTTATTAAAGGAACTGTAGACGTAAACTTTAGTGGCTCTCACTTTATTAAAGGAGCTGTAGACGTAATCTTTAGTGACTCTCACTTTATTAAAGGAACTGTAGACTGACTCTCACTTTATTAAAGGAACTGTAAACGTAATCTTTAGTGACTCTCACTTTATTAAAGGAACTGTAGACGTAAACTTTAGTGACTCTCACTTTATTAAAAAATATTTAGACATAAACTTTAGTGACTCTCACTTTATTAAAGGAACTGTAGACGTAAACTTTAGTGACTCTCACTTTATTAAAGGAACTGTAGACGTAAACTTTAGTGGCTCTCACTTTATTAAAGGAGCTGTAGACGTAATCTTTAGTGACTCTCACTTTATTAAAGGAATTGTAGACGTAAACTTTAGTGACTCTCACTTTATTAAAGGACCTGTAGACGTAAACTTTAGTGACTCTCACTTTATTAAAGGAACTGTAGACGTAATCTTTAGTGACTCTCACTTTATTAAGTGACATTTACAATTCACAACGGGTACATTGAAAAGGCTGCAGAAAGTATTTGTATATCCCTATACTATATATATATATATTAATATATGTAATGTATATATATCTTGGTTATGTTGAATTATATGAATTGTAGAGTCCAAAAACAAAATTAATTAGCTCTGCATTCCTCTTGCTGTAGCAGAACAAGAAAAAAATACCATTTGAAATAATCATAGTCATCCAAACACTAGAAATAAATTAAATTGCCGAGCTTTAATTTTCTGAGGCTCAATTTTTTTCAGTCTGATGTCTTAGACCTGTTCTGTTTTAAAGATTAGAATTTTGATCATAAATTCAAAGTGGTAAACATCAAAGGTTTACACCATCAGGTTTTGAAGATAATCAAACCACTTAAAATTCTAATAATCATCCAATTACTGGAAGTAAAAGTAAACTTCTTACTTCATTCGAACTATGACTTTTTACCGCTCATCTCTTTGCAGACTGAAATCGCAGATCTGTTCTATTTGAAACTAATCAGAAATCCAAAATGGAATATCAATAACTCAGTCATGTTTGTCATTCAAAATTCATCCAACAAAGTGGCATGAATCCCACAGTAAAAATGACACAAAAGTTCTTTAATTAATGTTCATAAACAAGTCTATCAAGACAATTTAATGTTTTAATGTTGATAATTGATAAACCTAAGGTGTCTCCAAAAGAAAAAAAGAAAATAAAAGATGAAGAAAATAAATTAAGAAAATAAGTTTGAATAAAAAATAATAAAAATGCTTTTTAAAATCTTTTTTTATCTATTAACAGTAAAAAACGCAGGTTTTCCACTTTTACTAGTAGATATTTACACACTTTTTAAACAAAATATCTTTTTAGACTTTTAGACTTATATTCCTTCCCACTGGGGTCTGGTGAGTTGAACCATTATGATCTGATCTTTTCAGTCGTTTTGACGTTTATTGGATGCAATCACCCAACCAAACAAAGAAACACACGGCCAAGCAAAATCTATTTAATTATGGTGC